AACTGCTAGCATGGCAGTTGAAAAAGAGACAAAAATTGAATACAGTTACAAATCTAGAGATTGATGGGAGAATTGTTCAGAAACCAGAAGAAATCAGAAGGTGCTTCCAGAGATACTTCAAAGAACTTTATGCACAGGGGCCACAGAAAGAGTTCGAGATAGACCAATTTTTAAAATCTAACGGTCTACCAAAAGTAACGCAGGAAAAGAGAACAATCCTGAACTGTAAAATAACACAACAGGAAATTGAAGGCGCCATTCAGAATATGCAATTAGGCAAATCTCCAGGCCCGGATGGACTCACCTTCAAATACTATAAGACTCTGAAGGACTATTTGATACAACCTTTGTTAGAGGTATGCAACCAGATTATGGAGGGGAAGAAGGCACCGGAATCGTGGAAAGAAGCCTTCATCACATTGATTCCCAAAGTGGAAACTGAAAAGACTCAACTTAAGAACTACCGTCCCATCTCACTCCTAAATGTGGATTACAAAATTTTTGCAGACATTTTGGCAAGTAGACTTAAAAAAGTTTTGAATGAAGTAATTCACAAGGACCAGGCTGGCTTTCTCCCAGGTAGACATTTGTCTGACAACACCAGGAACATTATTGATATTTTGGAACTTTTACAAACAAATATCAATAGGAGAGCGGTGTTAATTTTTATTGATGCAGAGAAAGCCTTTGATAATATTTCTTGGATGTTTATGAAGAAAAATTTGTTTGTTTTTTTTAAAAAAAAATTTTATTGCTTTATTTTCCAAGGTCAGAATACATCGTCCATGACACAACAAAAGCTGTTTTACAAGAAAAAAGAAAGATTTAAATATAAGAAAATTCATTTTTCCAAATCTTTTTTCATCATCTACTGGACTTCCCCACATCCTCCATCCCTGCATTCTTTACAATAAAAGTGAATAGCAAATTAATACCTTGTTTCATGTGTTTTTGTACTTTCATCTAATTATTTACTCTGAAATTTAAACTTTTCTCAGTCGTAACTTAATTTCAATCATTTCCGAATCTCAATACGGAAGCATGTTTTTCTCAAAACTTAGCAAATTCTCAACATTCATATAACTTATAATGTTTTTGTAAATAGTCCTTAAATTTTTTCCAGTCCTCTTCCACTGCCTCTTCTCCCAGGTCTCGGATTCTGCCAGTCATTTCAGCCAATTCCATGTAGTCCATCAGTTGCGTATGCCACTCTTCCAGCGTGGGTAACTCCTGTGCCTTCCAGTATTTGGCTATAAGGATTCTTGCTGCTGTGGTTGCATATAAAAAGAAAGTTCTATCCTTCTTTGGCACTCTCTGGCCTACAATGCCCAGGAGGAAGGCCTCTGGTTTCTTCTGAAAGGTATACTTAAATACCTTTTTCAACTCGTTATAAATCATTTCCCAGAAAGCCTTCACCCTCGGGCATGTCCACCAAAGATGAAAGAATGTTCCTTCAGCCTCCTTACATTTCCAACATTTATTGTCAGACAAATGATATATCTTTGCAAGTTTGACTGGGGTCATGTACCACCTGTACATCATTTTCATAATGTTTTCTTTTAAGGCACTACATGCCGTAAATTTCATACCGGTGGTCCATAACCTTTCCCAGTCTTCAAACATAATGTTGTACCCAATATCTTGTGCCCATTTTATCATGGCTGATTTAACAGTCTCGTCTTGAGTATTCCATTTAAGCAACAAGTTATACATTCTTGAAAGCACTTTCGTCTTAGGTTCAAGTAGTTCCAACTCTAATTTTGATTTTTCCACCTGGAAACCAATTTTTTTGTCCTTTTTAAAGATCTCTAAAATTTGGGCATAATGAAACCAGTCTCGCACCTTTCCTTTCAATTTTTCAAAACTCTGCAACCTCCAAGTGTCACCCACTCTTTCTATTATTTCACAGTATTTTGCCCAGCCACCCCCCATATTAAGTATTTTTGTGGCCTTAGCCTCCATCGGTGATAGCCACCTCGGAGTCTTGTTTTCAAGTAAGTCCTTATATTTAGTCCAGACATTAAACAAAGATTTCCTGACAATATGGTTTTTAAATAACTTATGAAGCTTTACCTTGTCGTACCACAAATAAGCATGCCACCCAAATGCATTGTTAAACCCTTCCAGATCTAGGACATCAGTGTTTTCTAACAAAAACCAATCTTTCATCCAGCAGAAGGATGCAGCTTCATAGTACAACCTTAAGTCCGGCAGGGCAAATCCCCCTCTTTCCTTTGCGTCTGTTAGTATTTTAAATTTTATACGGGGCTTTTTGCCCTGCCAGACAAACTTCATAATGTCCCTCTGCCACTTTCCAAAACACTCCACTCTGTCCACGATCTGCAGGGCCTGAAACAGAAACAACATTCTTGGCAATACATTCATCTTAACTGCTGCAATTCTTCCCAACAAGGAAAGTTTCAGTCTTGACCAAATTTCTAAGTCCTTTTTAATTTCAGACCAACATTTTTCATAGTTATCTTTGAACAAATTCAAATTTTTCCCAGTCAAATTAACTCCCAGGTATTTCACTTTTTTAACCACATTTAATTCTGTTTCCTTCTGGAACCCATCTATTTCTGAAGGTGTCAAGTTTTTTATGGGAGTGGGACGGGGGTTTGAAAATGGAATACAAGCAATCTATACAGAGCAAAAAGCTAAATTGATAGTGAACAATGTGGTGACAGAGGAGTTTAAAATTGAAAAAGGGACACGACAGGGGTGCCCGCTATCTCCTCTTCTATTTATCTCAGTCCTGGAGGTGCTACTGAACATGATCAGAGAGGACCGGTTGGTACAAGGAATAGAGGTCGGAGTGAAACAATATAAACTGAAAGCTTTTGCAGATGATCTAGTTTTAACACTACAGGAGCCAGTATCTAGTACAAAAAGAGTTTTAGAATTGATTCATGAATTTGGTCGGGTGGCGGGATTTAAGCTGAACAAGCAAAAGACCAAGGTTTTGGCCAAAAACTTGACATCTACAGAAACAGAGGGGTTTCAGAAAGAAACAGAACTAAGTGTTGTTTAAAAAGTGAAATACCTAGGGGTTCATTTGACTGTAAAAAATTTGAATTTATTTAAAGACAATTATGAAAAATGTTGGTCAGAGATTAAGAAGGATTTGGAAATTTGGTCAAAGCTGAAACTTTCCTTGTTGGGCAGAATTGCAGCTATAAAGATGAATGTATTGCCGAAAATGTTATTTTTGTTTCAAACCCTACAGATCGTGGACAGAGTGGAATGTTTTGGAAAGTGGCAGAAGGATATATCTAAATTCGTCTGGCAGGGCAAAAAGCCCCGAATAAAGTTTAAAATATTAACTGATTCAAAAGAAAGAGGGGGGTTTGCCCTGCCGGACCTGAGGTTGTATTATGAATCTGCAGCCTTTTGCTGGCTGAAAGATTGGTTTCTGTTGGAGAACACTGATGTCCTGGATCTGGAAGGGTTTGACAATGCTTTTGGTTGGCATGCTTACCTGTGGTACGACAAGGTCAAAGTTCATAAATTATTTAAAAACCATATTGTCAGAAGAGCAATCTTTGCGGTTTGGTCGAAATATAAAGACTTACTGGAGGGCAAGACCCCGAGATGGCTTTCACCGATGGAGGCCAAGGCTAGGAAAAGACCCAACATGGAGGCCTATTGGCCAAAATATTGGGAAATAATTGAAAAAGTTGGAGACAAATGGAGGTTGCAGAGCCAAGACAAACTAAAAAATAAGGTGCGGGATTGGTTACATTATGCTCAAATCCAAGAGGTTTTTAAAATGGACAAAAAAGTTGGTTTCCAGGTGGAAAAATCGAAATTAGAGACGGAATTGTTAGAATCAAAAACTAAGACACTTTCGAAAATGTATAACTTGCTGCTTAAATGGAATACACAGGATGAGACAGTTAAATCTGCCATGATAAAATGGGCACAGGATATTGGACACAACATTATGTTTGAAGACTGGGAAAGGTTATGGAACACCGGTATAAAGTTTACGGCATGTAATGCCTTGAAAGAAAACATTATGAAAATGATATACCGGTGGTACATGACCCCAGTCAAGTTAGCTAAGATATACCACTTGTCTGATAATAAATGTTGGAAATGTAAAGAGGCAGAAGGGACATTCTTCCATCTTTGGTGGACCTGCCCAAAAGTGAAGGCCTTCTGGGAAATGATTTACAACGAGTTAAAAAAGGTATTTAGGTATACCTTTCCCAAGAAACCAGAGGCCTTCCTATTGGGCATGGTGGACCAGAAGGTGTTAAAGAAGGACAGAACTTTGTTTATGTACGCTACTACAGCAGCAAGAATCCTTATTGCAAAGCACTGGAAGACTCAAGATTTACCCACGCTGGAGGAGTGGCAGACGCAGTTGATGGACTACATGGAACTGGCTGAGATGACTGGCAGAATCCGAGATTTGGGCGAGGAAACAATGGAAGAGGACTGAAAAAAATTTAAGGACTATTTGCAAAAACACTATAAGTTGTATGAATGTTAAGAAATACGCACGATTAGGGAATCTTTTTGCTTTAGCAACTTGATTAGGTAAACTGAAAATTAAGACAAGAAAAAAGAGGTGGTAATATGAAACAATTTTATTATGTTAATTTTAAATGTACAAAGTTGGGATAAAATATTGTGAATTTAGAAACATAATAACTGAAAGATACAGTAAGTTAAGAAACAGGGTAACAAATTGCTGAAACTTTTATTACAAAGAACGCAGAGTCGGGAGGATGTGGGGAAGTCCATTTGGAATACTGAAAAAACGACTGAAAATTGGATTGTATTGACCTTTTTATTATTTCGGTTTTGTATTTGTTTCTTGTATTTTCTTTCCCTAATTTTGTGTCTATGACTTTAAGAAAAGAAACTCAATAAAAAATATTAAAAAAAATAAAATAATAAAAGCCATATTAAAAATTGTGACTGGAGTGGTTAATTGGAAGAAAGCAGCAGCTCAGGAAAAAGGCCATCTCCCAGTATTTCCTGCCGAGTACCTGAGATTCGCACAGGTTTCCTGGAGAGCCTTCACCTCTTCCTCCAGCTTCTTCCTGTCCTCTTGACTCAGAGAGGCTCCCCTCTCTTCCGCCTCTTCCAGCACCTGGCTCTGCTCATTCTCCAGCGCCTGGATGCGGCTCTCAAGAATCTTCTTCTCTGCTTCGGAGTGATGGAGCTTCTCCAGAGAGGCTTCCAGCCTCTGGCGGCTCTCGGCTGCTTCGGAAGAGAGCGTTTTGCACACCTGCGAGGGAGATTGCAAGGCCTTTGCTCTATTCGCTTGCCCCAGAGACTCTTCCAGGCCAATGTGCACAGCCACTTGGTAAACTCAAGACCTTCTGGGTAGAACTGCTGATCTAGTGAACAGTTGGGCACAGGGCCAGATCGCTACCTAACCACAACTGTCCACCTATGAAAATATTATTATTAGAATATAAGATAATGTAATATAATTTATATCCTAGCTTTTCCCCAGACAGGGACTTAAGATGCCAGATAAAATAGAAATAGCTAAAAACAGAAAAACACAATCATTAAAAAACAATTAAACACTAATTAGAATTAAAATTGTGTGTGTGTGTGTGTGAGAGAGAGAGAGAGAGAGAGAGAGAGAGAGAGAGAGATACCTATTGAAACATACATATCATTACAATAAAAACAGCACAGCACCTGCCTTTTCCTTAAAACCAGTCATTCCCCAAAGACCTTTATGGAACAAGAAAGTTTTCACTTGCTGGCAGCAAGGAAGGAGCCAGTCTGGCTAACCTTGGCAGGGAGTTCCAAAGTTGCTTGAGAGCAGCCGCTGAGAAGGCCCTCTCCTGCGTCTCCACTGAGCGTACCTATACAGAACTGATTCATATGTATATATTTTTTGACGTTCTTTTAAGCTGTTTTTGAAGTTGTGTGATATTTGTGTTAATATTACTGCTGTGTTTTAACTCTTATAACCTGTCCTGGGATTTTAGGATGAAGGGCGGGTGATAAATTGTAATTAATAATAGTAATCTTTCAGGGAATGGAGAACATTTTTCCGTGTGAGGCCCACATTCCTTTCCAGGGGAGGGGCTGCATGCCAGCAGTGCGTGGCCAGAGACAGAAGTGGGTGAAGTAATTTAATATAATGTACGGTCCCAGCGCCTGCCAACCTAGCAGTTCGAAAGCACCCCCTGGTGCAAGTAGATAAATAGGGACCGCTTACTAGCGGGAAGGTAAACAGCGTTTCCGTGTGCGGCTCTGGCTCACCAGAGTAGCTTTGTCACGCTGGCCACGTGACCCGGAAGTGTCTGCGGACAGCGCTGGCTCCCAGGCTATAGAGTGAGATGAGCGCACAACCCTAGAGTCTGTCAAGACTGGCCCGTACGGGCAGGGGTACCTTTACCTTTATTACATTTCCGGGACGCAGGTGGCGCTGTGGGTTAAACCACAGAGCCTAGGACTTGCTGATCAGAAGGTTGGCGGTTCAAATCCCTGCAACAGGGTGAGCTCCCGTTGCTCAGTCCCTGCTCCTGCCAACCTAGCAGTTCGAAAGCACATCAAAGTGCAAGTAGATAAATAGGTACCGCTCCGGCGGGAAGGTAAACGGCGTTTCCGTGCGCTGCTCTGGTTCACCAGAAGCACCTTAGTCATGCTGGCCACATGACCCGGAAGCTGTACACCGGCTCCCTTGGCCAGTAAAGCGAGATGAGCGCCGCAACCCCAGAGTCGGCCACGACTGGACCTAATGGTCAGGGGTCCCTTTACCTTTACCTTTATTACATTTCTATCCCACCTTTCTCTCCAAGGAACTCAGAGTGATGTAGGTGTTTCATGGATCCCACCCACAGCTGGAGAAATGGGCCAGAATGGGGGAACTCACCTGTCTGGTGGACTCCAGCTCCTCCTCCATGAGAACCTTCTCCTTGTCCTGGTGATTGACTTGGGTTTCGGCACAGACGAGCTCCGAATGGAGGGCTGAGACTTGGTCGTTGGAGCCTTCCTGCTGTTTCCGTGCACGCTCCAGCTCCAAGGTGAGATGTTGGACCTCCTGGTGGAGAGCCACCTTCTCCTGCAAGACAGTCGCTATGGTCGTTATGGTCATTTACGGCTCACTCTTCTTCATCAAAATGAAAGCAAAGCGGCTGCAGGATCAAACACGACTGCAGTACTCAAAGCAGCACAGGTAACTATGCTGCCCCATCAGATGGCAGCAAACCAAGGGCACTAGGAACATGAGAACGTAAGTTTGTGTCTAGGTCAAGGGACGCCATGGTGCTGCTCTGCTCTGCCTCGGTCAGAACCCACCTGGAGGCTTATGTCTAGTTTCGGGCACCTCAGTTTGAGGAGGATATCGACAAGTTTGATGTATTACAGTATTTTAATATTTTTTTGGAAGCCACCCAGAGTGGCTGGGGAAGCCCAGCCAGATGGGTGGGGTATAAATAATAAATTATTATAAATTAATAAATAATAATTATTATTACCAAGGGTCTGGAAAACCAAGATTTAGAAGGAGCAGTTGAGGGGGTTGGGTATGTTTAGCCTGGCAAAGAGGAGACTGAGAGGAGATAGCCCTCTTCAAAATGAAACTGAAATTGAAATACTTTATTGTCACTTGTACAACTTGTATACAGTGAGATTACACGAGCACCACCGACTCAGCTCTCTTAGTCTTAATTCCTCTTGTTTACTGACACACACACAGCAACCCGAAAGTCAGTTGCCCTGTTGTTATCTTTTCATTCAGCAGCTTGATATAGAAGCTGGATAGAAGCTGTTCTTTACCCTGTTGGTGCGACTAGTCATGCTTCTATATCTTCTGCCTGAGGGCAGGAGATCAAGAAAGTGCCGGCCGGGGTGTGAATCACCCCCTGGAATTTTCCTCTCTCTCCTGAGGCAACGTTCTTCTGCTATTTCATTCAGCGGATTCATGGGACAGTCCATAATATCTCCAGGGCTGTCCCATGGAAGAGGAAGCAAGTTTGTTTTCTCCTGCTCTGGAGGGTAGGACTCAAACCAATGGATTCAAGTTACAAGACAGGAGATTCTGACTAAACATCAGTGGAATGGACTCTCTTGGCAGGTTGTGGACTTTCCTTCATTGGAAGTTTTTAAGCAGAAGTTGGATGGCCATCTGTCCTGAATGCTTTATTTGAGATTCCTGCATTTCAGGGGGTTGGACTAGATGACCCTCCAAACTCTATGACTGTAATAAGGAGGAGGTGCCAAAGCCCCCGGATTAGGGCGGTTCATAAAAAACTTTTTTCCTCCATGAAAATAGCTGTTTACTTGGCCATTTTCCTATGCCTGGAAGGCTGAAATTTCAGTTTCAGTGAAGCAGGGCCAAGATATTAACTGACATGCATGAAATTTCAGATATAGCTATATAGTCCCTAGTGTAGTAAGATAAGACCTTTGGAGCAGGCATTTTTTAAAAAGGAATAATTTATTCATAAAATAATTTATGAATACCCCGGATTCCAAAATGCAACTACAGACTCCCGATCAAGCAGATTGCTCACTTGGCCTCTGTCTCCTCACTTACCCTTTCCCTCTGGGGCCAGGCCAGTCTGCCCTGCCCCCTTCTCCCCGGACACCTACCTGCTGCCCTCTCCCCAGACCCAGAGCTGTAGCTAGGTGATCTTGCGACCCTGGCAGAACCATCCAGATTGCGCCCCCTCACCACGGACAAATTAGCTCTTCTTTCCGCCTCTCCTCCAGCCCCCTCCCTTCCACCCATTCAATTCACCCTCTATTTAAAACCATTTCCTATGAGGCAATAATCGATATTTATGGACATATTTTTAGCCAATTTTGTGCCCCCCCATTGCTTGCACCCCTGGTGGGGGCCCAACTCAACACCCCCTAGCTACGGCCCTGCCCAGACCCCAGACCCCGTACCTTTTGAATTTTATTGTTATCCATGTTTTTAAACTGTGTTTTATGCTGCTTTTACAATTAAGTGTTTTAAATTTGTTGTTAGCCGCCCTGAGCCCAGTTTTGAACCAGGAAGGGCAGGATATAAATAAAAAATTATTATTATTATTATTATTATTATTATTATTATTATTATTACCTGAAGGAGTTTCTCCCAGACAGAAAGGGCAGATTCCAACTTCAGGCTAAGCTCCCTCACTTTCTCTTCCAGCCGATCCTTCTCCTGTCAGGCAAACCAGCACATTTTCCCCTCAAAATGTCATATTTCGTCAGAGTGAAGACTGCATACTTGGGGGAACCCCAATGTTTGCAGAATTAGGGAAAAGTACTTTTGCAGGGGACTAAGGAGGCAACATGTCCTTCCCCAAGCATAGGTCACATTCACACCATATATTTAAAGCACATTTAACACGTGTATAAAGCATGTGGCTTTATATCCTGGGAACTGTGGTTCCTGGCCCCTGAGAACTATAGTTCCCCACCTCACAGAACTGCAAATTCCCAGCCCCCTTAATAGAATATAGGAGCCAGGAGTGCTTGGGGGAAGTTGTGTGCTTGAAATGTACGGTGTGGGTCCCTCTGCAACTCTATATCTTAGCTACTCCCCAGCCCTAGAGGGGACTTTCTCCTGGGCATGGTCGGCCAATTGGTGCCAAAGAAGGATAGAACTTTCTTCTTTATGTATGCAACAACAGCAGCAAGAATACTGATTGCAAAGTATTGGAAGACACAAGATTTACCCACACTGGAAGAGTGGCAGACGAAGGTGATCGAGTATATGGAATTGGCAGAAATGACTGGCAGAATCCGAGACCAGGGAGAAGAGTTGGTGGAAGAAGACTGGAAGAAATTTAAAGACTATTTGCAGAAATACTGTAAAATTAATGAATGCTAAAATGATGTTGGATTGAAAATAAGTGGTATTGGTATTAAGATTAACAAGTATGGATTGATAATGGATGAAAATATATAGTTATAATAAGTTAAGATATAGAGTAAAGATGGTTGAAAGAGGGTAAGGATTTGCTGAAATGTCTTTGTGAATGGGAATACAAAAAGGGGAGGTGAGAGGAGGTCAAGGAAACAAGTAAATGAGTCCAAAGATATTGAAAAATGGATGTTTTTTCTTTTTAAATTTCTTTTTCAGCTGCATGTTTTTTTGTATTTTGTACCCTTTTTATTCTTTTTTCTATGTGTGTTTTTTTTAGTTTGTTAATTGTTGTTATAATTTTAGTTTGTTAATTGTTGTTATAATTTTCTCTATTTTGTAAACTTATGTTTTCTTTTTTGTAAAATTTGAATAAATATCTTTTTTTAAAAATAGAGGGGACTTGCAGTCTCCTTGGCAAACCTCTTTTGCAGTTTCCAGCTTCTGCCCCATCTCCTCTTGTTTTTCTTCTAAGGACTTGATGTGGCTTTCGTGAGCCAACAGGCTGCTTTGAAGGCTGACCAGTTCTTCCTGGAAATCAAGAGTGCATTTGAATGACTTCTGTGGTTTTTAAATACATTTGAAACATGATGATGATGATGATGATGATGATGATGATGAGTTGTACCCCGACCATCTGACTGGGTTGCCCAGTCAGGGCTTCCAACTGAATATACAGAAACACAACAACCACAACAACCCAACAGAACATCACACATTAACCCCTAACACCTTAACCCATCATCGATAAGGACATTATACCGTATTTGTGGCAGTGGGACTTCTGACCTTGATGAGCAGGGCTGCATGGATTTTGTGCTAAGGACAATGAAAATTATGCTGCCAAGCAACCCAAATTCTGCATGGGGGTAGGGATTGTTGGGATACTGCCGGGCTCCAGCCAGCAGCTGGGCGATCACCGGTCTCCCTTGGAACAGCATCAAACAGCGACACGAGCCTCAGATACATTTAGAGACTTGGCACACTTTATCAGCAGAGTGAATAAATCTTCTCACAACAGAAGTGGCGGACAGAGCCATGTGTAAGCATATTTACAGCATTTATTCAGCTTAGTTCAGGAAGAAAGGAAAAAACATGTCTGCTTCCCTTCGTGTCCAGCAAACAGCAGAGCAAAAGCAATATACAAAACAGAAGTTCCCAGCAGACTGCTGGAATGTAAACAGGCATGTGACACACAACAGTCATGCCTGTTCCCTTTTAAGGTGGAACGGAACTATATCCTAACAGGGATGAATTCTGTGATCTGAATTCAGTAAGCAATCTTTCTTATTTTCATTATTCACTCTGGTTTTGATTGTTGTGCGGAGGGGGTAAGAGGTTATTCAGGCACCAAAGCCGCCCCCCTTCCAACAACTGGGAATCGGCCTTCTTAGATTTCAAGAGGCATCACTCAGATGCTTACAAATATATCTGTGCTTTCATGAAGACTAGAAACTTTGTTTTTTAACTGAAGGCTGTGATTCCTAGGACACTAAATTCTGTGCCCATACACCACCTTTTGTGAATTCTTGCAATTTTAAACATGATAACCTATCTATGTCCGATCCAATGCTAGGTCCAGACATACCCACACCCCGGCTGAGGTCAATTTTAGGACGCCATGCTTACCACAGTGGCGTTCTGATTGGAGCCCGGGGATGAGAGTGATCCATGGTTCCTCATGCCTGGAGAATATCTGGCCTTTACCAGTTCTGTTTCCAAACTGAAGAGCCTAAAAGGCAGGCACATCCAGACAAATATGAGGTTCCTGTCTGCCGTGCTAAGAATAGTTCGTTCCTGTTTCCTAAGTTTGCAGTACCCAGAACATACCATTTACATGCTCTGCAGAAATCATTCCCTCCAACTTTTCTCCGATGAAAATAGGGACGGGCACAAAGTACTGGGCAGGCACTGGGCACAGAGGGTTCACGAGGCTGCGCTGCCTGGCTGCCCGCCCATTCAGGGGGAGCCCAGAGACCCCGGGTGGCAAGCAGGGCAGGGAATCCTGCATGGAAGTGCCTGACTCAAGCCCCCTCAAAACCACGTGCCCGGGACTACGTCCCCCCCCCCGGCCCTCCCCACGCTACGCCCAGCTTCTGCTGGCAGGCGAAGACTGTTATATTCCAACAGGGCCTTTGGGAACTGACTGTTTTTAAGGAAAGGGCTGGTGATGTTTTTATTGTAATTATCTGTACAGTGGTACCTCGGGTTAAGAACTTTATTCGTTCTGGAGGTCCGTTCTTAACTTGAAACTGTTCTTAACCTGAGGTACCACTTTAGCTAATGGGGTCTCCCGCTGCTGCCAAGCCGCCGCCGCCACGTGATTTCTGTTCTCATCCTGAAGCAAAGTTCTTAACCCGAGGTACTATTTCTGGGTTAGCGGAGTCTGTAACCTAAAGAGTCTGTAACCTGAAGTCTGTAACCCGAGGTACCACTGTATGTTTTAATAGATCTTAGATATGTTAATACAGTGGTACCTCAAGTTACATATGCTTCAGGTTACATACGCTTCAGGTTACAGACTCCGCTAACCTGGAAATATTACCTTGCGTTAAGAACTTTGCTTTAGGATAAGAACATAAATCGTGGTCCGGTGGCGCGGCGGCAGCAGGAGGCCCCATTAGCTAAAGTGGTGCTTCAGGTTAAGAACAGTTTCTGGTTAAGAACAGACCTCCATAACGAATTAAGTTCTTAACCCGAGGTACCACTGTATTTAATTGTTTTTTAACAATTCCTTTTTTCCTATGCTTTTAGCTCTTTCTGTTTTCTCTATAAGTTGCCTCGAGTCCCTGTCAGAAAAAAGACAGGATATGAATTAATGCAATGATAATAGTAAGTAGGGAGACAGGGAGGCAGGGGCTTGCTGAGGACCAAGCTTAGCGGGGCAGCAAGGGCCTCACTTGCTCTAATGGAACAGCCTCAACTGGTCATGCGAGCCTTCTTTCCTGGAAGGGAATCAGCCATTAACAATAAACATTAGGAAGAACTTTCTGGTGCCAAGAGCTGTTCAAGTGTAGAATGGAGCCCTCGGAAAGCTCTCCTTCATTGAAGGCTTTTAAACAGAGGATAGATGACCATCAGTCAGAGGTTCTTTAGCTGAGATTCCTGCATTGCAGAGGGTTGGACTTAGATGACCCTCGGGGTATACAAGTGGGAGCTAAACAGTACAAACTGAAGGCATTTGCTGATGATTTGGTGTTGACTTTACAGGAGCCAGAATCTAGTACTAAAAGAGTACTAGAATTGATTCAAGAATTTGGTCAGATAGCAGGCTTTAAGTTGAATAAGACGAAAACTAAGGTTCTAGAGAAAAATCTAACTGTGATTGAGAGAGATAAGTTCCAGAAGGAGACAGGTTTAACACTGGTCAAGAAAGTGAAATATTTAGGGGTTAACATGACTGCTAAGAATGTGAATTTATTTAAGGATAACTATGAAAAATGTTGGACTGAAGTGAAAAAGGACTTAGAGATATGGTCAAACTTGAAGTTATCACTGTTAGGCCGAATTGCTGTGATAAAAATGAACGTATTGCCAAGGATGCTGTTTTTGTTCCAAACACTGCAAATTTTGGACAAAATGGACTGTTTCAAGAAGTGGCAGAGAGATATCTCTAGATTTGTCTGGCAGGGCAAGAAGCCCCGTATAAAATTTAAGATATTAACTGATGCTAAAGAAAGAGGTGGATTTGCCCTGCCAGACTTTAAACTTTACTATGAATCAGCCGCTTTTTGCTGGCTGAGAGAATGGATGCTTCTTGAAAACACTGATGTGCTGGATTTGGAAGGTTTTAACAATGTATTTGGTTGGCATGCATATCTGTGGTATGACAAGGTTAAAGCACATAAAGCGTTTAAAAACCATATTGTCAGAAAAGCATTGTTTAATGTCTGGATAAGATATAAGGACTTGTTAGAAAATAAAACTCCGAGATGGCTCAGAAGCAAAGGCTCAGAAAAAACTCAATATGGAGGCCAAATGGCCGAAGTATTGGGAAATTCTGGAGCAAGAGGGAGATAGACTAAAACTGCAGAGTTTTGAAAAATTAAAAAACAGAGTGCGAGACTGGCTCCACTATTATCAAATAATGGAGGCATATAATTTGGACAAAAAACTAGGCTTCCAGGTGGAAAAATCAAAATTGGAAACAGAATTGTTAGACCCCAAAGTTAAGAATCTGTCAAGAATGTATAACTTGCTGTTGAAATGGAATACCCAGGATGAAACGGTGAAATCTGCTATGATTAAATGGGCACAAGATGTTGGACATAACATTATGATGGCTGACTGGGAACAGTTATGGACCACAGGTATGAAGTTTACGGCATGTAATGCCTTAAAAGAGAATCTAAAGAAAATGATTTATAGGTGGTACATAACACCAGTCAAGCTTGCAAAAATCTACCATTTGCCCGATAATAAATGTTGGAAATGTAAGGAGACTGAAGGTACATTCTTTCACCTTTGGTGGACATGCCCAAGGATTAAGAATTTCTGGGAGATGATTTATAATGAAATGAAAAAGGTATTTAAATATACCTTCCTGAAGAAACCAGAGGCCTTTCTCCTGGGCATGGTCGGCCAATTGGTGCCAAAAAAGGATAGAACTTTCTTTATGTATGCTACAACAGCAGCAAGAATACTCATCGCAAAGCACTGGAAGACACAAGATCTACCCACCCGGGAAGAATGGCAGATGAAGGTGATGGACTACATGGAATTGGCGGAAATGACTGGCAGAATCCGAGACCAGGGAGAAGAGTTGGTGGAAGAAGATTGGAAAAAATTCAAAGTATATTTACAGAAATATTGTAAAATTAATGAATGTTAGAAGGATGCTAGAATGAAGTTATATGGTTTTAGCAGAAATGTTATAAAGAATTAAGTAAAAATAGATTGTTAATGGGCCAAAGTGTAAAATTTAAGGTCAGATTGTGTTAAGATAAATTATAGAACAAAAATTGAGAAAGATGGAAAGGATTTGCTGAAATAGCTAATTGAACTAGAATACAAAAAAGGGAGGTGTGAGGTCGATGAAACAAGTAAATGAAAGATAAAGATACGGAAATACTAGATGTGTTTTTAAATGTTTTTGTTTTTCTTATTGTTCTGCTGTATTGTTTTTTGCTTTCTTTTTCTTCTTTGATGTATTGAAAGGTATTGTTTTGTTTAACTTTTTATTGTTTCTTGTTTCTTGTTTCTTTTTTTCTGTAACTATTAAATCTTTAATAAATATCGTTTAAAAAAAAAAGATAACCCTCGGGGTTCCTTCCAACTCTACAATTCTGTGATTCTATAATAATTCAGACTAATCTATGATTTTATATTCCCTCGTTTTTGTTTTTTTCCAACTCAAATGTATTTATATCCTGCTTTTCTTCCATAGAACACATGCGTGGGACTCCCCTCCAGACTGCTTAGCTTCATCAAGTTTGTCGTGCACCAGTTTGCTTGAGGTTACGCCCCGGGAGGACCCTACTCACTTATCATCCAGGTCTCCTTTGTGCTTCCTGTCTTCTGAGCAAGTCATTTCCAACCACTGCTTTTCCTTTTCTATGTGAGCGAAAGAGCTCTCCATCTGCTGTGGAAAAGACAAGGGATCAGAGGAGATTTCAGAGGCAAACTGTGCATTAAGACCCATTTGCATGAAACGAAGGAGGTCCCAGACTGTGTTCCCAGGTGAGAGGCACATAGCCAGGGCCTTGCAGAGCCATCACTACGTTTCCTGGGAGCAAATTCCATAGTTCAACTACATGCTGTGTGGAGAAGTATTTTCTTCTACCTGTTCTGAATATCCCAACATTCAAAGGACCATAGAAACATCGAATTGCAGAGTTGGAAGGGACCCCAAGGGCCATCTAGTCCAACCCTCTGCAAAGCAGGAATCTCAACTAAGGCGTCCATTACAGATGGCCTCCAAAAATGTCCCTCTAACCTCTTTCTCCAAACCTCACATGATCTTACACATTAGGCTTTCCCCCGAAACTGAAAAGCCCAAATTTTCCCCAGAGAGAAGTTGCTCTACCTGCCTGATTGCGTTGGTTGCCCTTTTCTGAATCTCTCTCGTTTCTGAGGCACAGCATGCCAAAACTGTGCACAACACCCCACATTACCTTCTGCTTCAGGGAAACCAGCTCAAAGTGCATCATGTTGAGTTCCAGCTCAAGGTTCCTCACGGACCAGGTTTCTCCCGCCTCAGTGTTCCTTGGCAGCTCTTCTGGTAAAGATGCTCGCAGGTCCAACTCTGAGCAACTCTGCCTCCTTCTAGCTAGTGGCTGTGTGGAACTATCCTCCCTTCTATTCCAGTTTGGGAGGCGATAGATATAATGCCTTCTTCTGACGGTTGAGCTATTGTGTTCTGCACCATCTGGTATATCTCTGACAAGAACAAGGAAGAACATAAGGAGAGCTCTGCTGGATCAGGCCAAAGGCCTATCTAGTCCAACAAGTGGCCTGCCAGAGTCATTCCTTCATTTCAGGGCGTTGGACTTGACATCTTTCCGCAGGGCCTGCAAGACAGAGCTGTTCCGCCTGGCCTTTGGTTTGGACTTGGTCTGACCCTTAAGTTTCCCGCCCCTTATGGTCTTGATTTATCAGCTACTTTAAAATGAGGCTGCATTTTAAATTGCATTTTAACCTGTATTTTAAAAATTTTTTTTTTCTTTTCTCTTTTCCCCCTATTATGTTTTTACTGTGATTTTATTGGTGTTAGCTGCCCTGAGCCCGGCTCTGGCTGGGGAGGGCACGGTATAAATAAATTTTATTATTATTTATTATTATTATGACTCTTTGGGTCTCCTCCAATTTTATGCCCGTAGGAAGCATAAAAGTAGGACTTGAGCACAATAGCAACCTCCCCTCCTGCAGCTTCCAGGAACTGTATTTAGAAGCTTCCTGCCTCTGACTGTGGAGACAAAGGATACGGGAAGCCTGCATAAAGGACCTGAATTCACAAGCCCTCTCCCCAGTTATGATTTCCAGCAACTGCTGTTCAGAAGCATTGCTCCTCTGACAGAGGAGGCAAAGAAGCCATCATAACTAGAAGCTACTGATAGCCCTCTCCCCCATGAATGTGTCTAATCCTCTTTTAAAGCCATTTCAATTGCTGGCCATCACAACATCTTGTACCTCATGCTTCCTTTCCTGAGAAGGATTTTGAAAGCAGAACTTGGACCTTGTGTTATATACGAACCTTGGATCCTAGAACAATAGGCAAGTAGGATCCTAGAATGCAACAACTGATTGGCTTGCAGGAGAAGACCAATCAGGCTCCAGGAAGAAGTTAAATTTAGCCTATTAGGCTGGAAGGATCGTAGAATGCAACTGTTATGCACTGAAGTTCTCACCCTGGGCCAGCAGGGGGATACTGTAGATAGTTTTCACTCAGGTCCACATATGCAAATAAGGGATTGAAAGTGACGTTCAGTGATTGGATAGTTACAGAAAGTGGTTACTGTTGCGTTGTAGTGGAGTTCTATATAAGCAGGCTGGCTGAACCCTTCAGTTCAGTTCAGGCCTGTGAATAAACAAGAGCTGTTTGAAGATTCGCTGTGTCGTCTGATATGTTCACCCACAACTTAACAGCAACAACTGATTGGCCTGCAGGAAAAGACCAATCAGGCTCCAGGAGGGAAGCAGAATCAGCCAATCAGATGGGACTCATTGGGTAAATAATGTATATAAAAGCCTGAGGGGGGGGGCAATTCAATCACTGTTTTACACGCTGCAATAAAGAGCATGAACTCACTACAGGACTCTGAGTATATTTCACCTTGCCTGACACACGTACATTCTGCTGCCTTTCGTGCGGAGCACTTGTGGTGGACTCATAGACTTGGCTCTCTGGGGATGCTTGGGATGAAGGGATTCCCTGCTGTATTCTCCCACTCGGCCTCTTGAGCTGCTGAGCTCCAGCGGTCCTGATGCCTCATTGACAACTATCTGATCAAGAGGAAGAAGAATGAAAGAGGCATGTGGGTACCAAACCTAGTGTGGAAGGTTGCTGACTGAGATCCAGGAGCACCTCGGATAAACCTAAGCCCCAGCAGAAAAGGTGCTCTCTTACCTTTGATGGAAAGAGAACCTTTGGAGAAAGAGCCCTGTCCATGTTGATCCTCTTCAGCTCTGTGGCAGAAACTGGTTGAGAGGGCTGATGGCTTCTTCTAGAACTTTCTGCAACTTTGCTGGGCAATCCCAAAGACTCAATTTCTGCGAAGCCATCTGGGAAACGTTTATTGCTAGGACAGTGCTGGGAGGGCAAGCCTGCAAATCCTCTCCAATTCTGGAGCAACATGTGAAGAGTTGAATGGTCACAGCCCAGTCTTTTTGTCTGTCTCCAGTTGTGTAGATTTAGACACAGATCCAGAATTGGGATCTATGGATCCAAGTTAAAGACAGAAGATCCAGGAAGATCATGGGATCTAAAAAAACATGTTACCAAACATAGCAAAAAGGGGAAAAAAAGGATCATAGTGAGAGATCTCACGAACCTGTGTCTTTCCCAGCCTATAGAGATTTTTCCACAATCCTGGAATTTGGGAAATCTTTGACTGAGCTGTTCAACACTGAGAGACGCTGAGCATCAGGGCATTTGCAGAATCCACATTGCTGGATCCATCCCTGAATTTTGATGATCTCCTTTACCTGATACACTGAAAATGTCAGATTTGGTGACTCTTTCAAAGGCATATTTCTAGAATTTGCATGAAAAACTTAAAATAAAATTAAAGGCAATTTAAAATGTTTGTGTTTGTTTTTTCTTTAGAATTGCACAATGGTTAAAATTGTGGGTTTCAAAGCCATTGCAAAACACTTTAAAGAATAATGAGTGAGTGCTGTTTTTCTCAAACCTCCCAGAGGACTGTGCAGGGGCTTATCCATTACTGACATCCTGAAATCAATTCCTGCTGGGATTCAAACAGCGTGCGATCCAAGGGATATCGCAAATAGCAGAATAATGGTGTGCAAGAATCAGCTTGTGAAGGTGAGGGCACTTGCAGATTACCTGCCTACTGAGCAGTCATTCTGATTTGTTTGAGGGGCGGTTAAATACCATGCCTTTATATCCCTCCCCTCCTCCCCCAGAATTCTAGGAACTGTAGTTTGTGAAGGCTGCTGGGCACTCTAGCTCTGGGAAGGCTAAACTACAATTCCTGGAGGGGTGCTTTAAACTGACATTGCATCAAAGGAAGTGCTATCCCACACTTCCCAGTGTATTTTCCTGTCACTTTTCTGACCGCAAAAGGTCAGGGAACCAATTTTGTTGCACAAGATCTCGCAAGGAACCAGAACTGTGCCACTTGAATCTATTGGTATATGACTGAACCCCACTCGAAATAGTGGCCGTTCAACTCCCTTTGCAAAGACAGGGTCATCCTTGTCCCAACCCCTTCTGGGACCCATCTAGAGATTCTCACGGGTAAGCTGCTCCAGAGGTCAGCTGCTCTGAGTAAGTGAGCCCAAGTTGCATTCTAAAGGGAGAAATCGCTTGCAGCAATGAAGTGTCCAAAACTCTGGGACTTTTCTAGACTTACCGTACCTCCTCACAAAGCATGCTGGTGTGACTCTGAATTCCCAGTGCTGAGAGAGAGGCCTGCAATTACGTTCTTTTCTCTTCTGTGTGCACCAGCTTTCTGTGGGGAAATACATATCCCATGCCAAGACAAAAAGCAGGGCAGCTGCTGCTATGGAAACTGTGGTGGCAACGAGGCAGTGCCTGCTTCTGGCCTGCTAATAAACTGGCCATTGTGAAACGTGGGTCACCTCTCAGAAAGGGAGGAGCCGCCACAGCAGGGAGGAGAAAGGAAGAACATAGCAAAGGGTGTGTGTGTGTGTCAATAGAAATGACACACCCTTGAACATTCTGTAGGTGAAAACAAAGATACTTGGTTGTGCTTCAGATCCAGATCATAGCTGTCAACGTTTCCTTTTTTATAAGGGAAATTCTCTTATTCCGAATAGGATTCCTCGCTAGAAAAGGGAAAAGTTGACAGCTATGATCCAGATGCTCTTTGAGGAAACTGAATTAAAAAAATAAATAAATCCATTTCAATTGGAGTTTAGGTCCGGTTTTGGCACAGAAACTGCTTTGGTTGCCCTGTATGATGACCTCTGTCAGGAGAGAGACAAGGGAAACTTGTCCCTGTTAATTCTTCTTGACCTCTCAGCAGCTTTCGATACCATTGACCATGGTATCCTTCTGAGGCAGCTGTCTGAGTTGGAGGTGGGTGGAACTGCTTTGTGGTGGTTCCGGTCCTACTTGGATGGTCGCTCCCAGGAGGCGATGCTTGGGGAATGCTTTTCAGCCCCATGGAGCATTCAATGTGGAGTTCCTCAGGGCTCAATTTTATTCCCTGCTACATAACATCTCCCCTTCATGGATCACTGCCTTGTCGTGGCGAAGGAGCTTGAATAACTCAGAGAAGCTATAAGCTATGCCGTGCAGGGCCACCCAAAATGGACAGGTCATAGTGGAGAGTTTTGACCAAACTGGATCCACCTGGAGCAGGAACCGGCAAGCCACTCCAGTATCCCTGCCAAGAAAACTCCATGGACAAAAGGAGTGCCTGGCGTGCTCTGGTCCATGGGGTCACGAAGAGTTGGACACAACTAAACGACTAAACAACAACATAACATCTACATGAAGCCGCTGGGTGGGGTTAGCTGGAGGTTTGGAGTATGTTGTCAGCAATATGCTGATGACACTCAGCTCTATTTCTCCTTTACATCTGCAGGTGAGGCAGTGGAAGTGCTGGACCAGTGTCTTGCCTTGGTAATGGACTGGGTGAGAGCCAAGAAACTGAAGCTCAATCCAGATAAGACTGAGGCACTGTTAGTGGGTGGTTCCCCAGACCAGATCGCTGGGAGGTGCCTGCTCTTGATGGGGTTACACTTCCTCTGAAGGAGCAGGTTTGTCACTCAAGGCTTAGGTGGCCCCAGCGGCACAGAGTGCCTTCAGTCATCTTTGGCTGGTGGCCCAGCTATGCCCCTATCTGGACAGGGATAGCCTAACTACTGTTGTCTACGCTCTGGTAACCAATAGGTTAATTACTGCAACGCGTTATACATAGGGCTGCCTCTGAAAACTGTTCAGAAGCTTCAGCTGGTGCAGAATTCAGTGGCCAGGTTGCTCACTGGGACAATATGGTTTGAGAATGTTACACCGATCCTGTGAATGTTAGAATGATGTTGGATAGAAATTAAGTGGTTTCCAGCTGTAATGCTTTAAGAGAATATGAAAAAAGGGTTATAAATAGGTAAAAATCTAATGGTAAGGATTTGCTGAACCAACAATTTGAAGTGGAATACAAAAAAGGGAGGTATGAGGAGGTCCGGGAAACAAGCTATAGGATAATAAGTAATGGAAATTCTGTGTGTTTTTAAACTATTTTTATTTTGTATTTTTTTTCTTTTTCATTTTTATTGTAATATTTTAAAAAATCTTAATAAATATCTTATAAAAAAAAGAGAGAATGTTACACCGATCCTGGCCTGCCTGTTCTGGCTGTCAATTAGCTTCTGGGTCCAATTCAAAGTGATGGATCTGACCTATAAAGCCGTAAATGGCTCAGGAGCACAATACCTCAAGGACCACCTCTGGCCATATAAACTGACCCAGACTTTGCATGCATCAGGTGAAGTTCTTCATGTGCCTCCATGTGAAGTTGGGGATGGGGGTGACAACACAAGGACGGGCCTTTTCTGCAGTGGCTCCCTGTTTGTGCAATTCTCTCCCCAGGGAGGTTCATCTGGCACCTTCATTATATATCTTAAGGCGCCAGGCAAAAATGTTCCTCTTCAGCCTTTGACTGATCAGGCCTTTGACTGATTAATATTCTACAGCCTTTTAATATGTGCCTATGGAAAGGGGGAGTGTGATTGTTTCACTGTTTTGTTTTGATTTTTTACTTGTGTTTTTATCTTGTATTTTATTCTGTGAATTGCCCTGAGATCTTATGTTGAAGGGTGGAATATAAATTAATTAATAACATACTCTTGTGCACTGGAATTTGGACACTGGAGGGCAACTGGGATGGTCAGAGGTATGTTAACCCAATGTATGTACAAGCCATACATTTAACACCTGGAGATGAATGACATTGGATTATTTTATTTTTGTAACTTGAAATTTCCCCCCCAAAAGAACATGAAACCATAATCTGCTTCTAACCAGTGGCGTAGCGTGGGGGGTGCAGGGGGGGCCAGCCGCACCGGGCGCAACATCTGGGGTTAGGGCAAATCCACAGGTTAGGGGGCGCAAATCCACGGGTTAGGGGGCGCAAATTACTTGCCTTGCCCCGGGTGCTGACAACCCACCCTACGCCACTGCTTCTAACAAATATTTCCGTCCCCACCCAACTCCCCCAGAATACAGATATGTTGTAAGCCACCAAAAGTGGTTGGAGTATAAATAAAATAACAACAGCAACAACAATAATTGCAGTCTTATGGGGAAATGTTGCTCCAAAGTTGCACAAGCGAGCTCTGTGGATGCCACTGTAGTTGATTTTCCGTTGCACATGAAGGAATGCTGTGTCTCTATTGAATCACTTTCCAGCTATAGCTTTGACTCCCTTCATTGGTCAGTTTTTCTGAAAGTGCTAGAGTCCAATTTGGGGCAGCAATAAGTCAGGCTTCCTCAAACTCGACCCTCCAGAGTTGTTTTTGGCCTACAATTCCCATGACCCCTAGCTAGCAGGACCAGGGGTCAGGGATGATGGGAATTGTAGTCCCAAAACATTTCGAGGGCCGAGTTTGAGGAAGCCTGCATTAAGTTGTCCAGCTGCTTCCCCCCCCCTTTTATAGGGATGGTCTTGGTCCAACTGGTCCCTCCTCCTCTGGGTCAGGGGCGCTATGGGGTGGGAGGTGGGCAGCCAGGTAGAAGGCACACGACACAGGCACCTTAGGGGAACTGTGGTTTTAATGTAAATTTGTTTGCCTTTTTAAACATAATTGCCTGTTAGGGTATTTTTAAATGCTGGTTTTAATGCATAATCGCGAACCGGAAGTCTCCGCGGTAACCTCTTTAGCCCGCATCCCCTTGGACTGCCTATAGCCGCCGCCACGTAATTCCGGTCAACCTCTCTCTTTGCCGCATTCCTCCTCCACCATGAAGTCGCGCGGGTAGAGCGGCCCACGCTCCTCTGACTCGTCGCGTCAAGGAAGGAGGAAAAAGAAGCGTCGGCCGCTCTAGCCCGCGCGGCGGCGGCGGCTCCCTTCTGCGCATAGGACGGCAGAGTGCGCATGCGCAGGGTGCCGTTTGCGTCGCCGCCGCCGCCGCTCTGTCGCTGCAGCCGCCGCCGCTGCTAAGGGGAGAACGAGCGGGACCAGGAGAGTCGGTGGAGCCGCGGGACAGCGGTGAGGAACGGAGGGGCGGGTGGTGGTGGTGAAAGGAGCCCCAGAAGCGACGGGAGAGGAAGGCCTCAGGCCCCGCTGCGTCGGGCCTTGTCGGGTCGGGCCGAGCCTTTGCGGTCTGTGCGGAGGGGGAGGGGCTTCGAGTAAACCACGCCCCTCGGGCCTCGCCATCATTCTCCCCTCGTCCCTGACCACCTCTGGGCGGTGGGGCGGCTATCTTGGCTCTAGGCCGCGCGGTCTCGCGGTGCCAGGGGGAAGTCTCGCGGGACTTGGGCGTGGCTCTGCGGCTCCGCTTCGGGAAGCGGCTGGAACGCAGGAAGCCCAGGCCGCTGCCGTGCCCCGAGTTCCCTGGAAGGAAGACTCCGGCCCCGTGGCCCTGCACTGGCTGACGGGCTGTCCAGGGTTTGGGGCAGAGAGATGGCCAGCCCTACCTGGAGATGCTGCCAGGGATCGAACCCGGGACCTTCTTCATTCGAAGCAGATGTTCGGCTGCTGAGCTGCGGCCCTTCCCAAGTAGGAACAGGGACAGCTTCTTTTGCGAGGGCCCTTCCTTTAAAAATAAGGCTCCAGTCCTCGAGGATCTGAGGAAGGGGCCGATTTAAACGAGAGTGCAGGAAGCGGCTTTATTCCGAGTCAGACTGTTGGATCTATCTGGCTCAGTATTGTCATAGCTGTCAACTTTCAGATTTGAAAATAAGGGATCAGCAGCCTCGAAAATGGGGATCAGCAGCCTCACCTGTCCCGGGGACAGTGTATGGGATATCTAACAATCCGGGATAGCAGTGGGAAACGGCACTGGAATAAGGGAATTTCCCGCAAAAAAGGGAAGGTTGACAGCTATGAGTATTGTCTACACCGACTGGTATCAGCAGCTCTCCAGGGTTTTAGGCAAGGAACTCCCCCAGCCCCACCAGGGGTCTGAACTTGGGGCCTTGCGCACACAAAGCAGATGCTCTATCACTGCCTGTTACAGCCTTCCTCTCCTTCCTCCTGGGTTTATTCCCATCCTCCCTTCATTCCTTAGCTAGCATGTCCAATGGACAAGGAGGAGGAGGAGGGTGACTGATGGGCGTTGTAGACCAGGAATATCTGGAGGACAGCCAGGTGCCTTACCCTGCTCCTACCTGCCTTTCAGAAACTTGATCTACTTGTCACTGTGGGATGGGGTGTATTAAATCTGGTGTGCTTTTAGTAATAACCCAGTAATCAAAATTGTGAGAGCGGCGAAGGGAGAAGAGGGTTTTTCCATGGTCTGGCTGTCACTGGAGCCCTCCCCCATCCCTTAATTTGAGCACCAGCTTAGCACAAAAAATTCTTAAGTTTCAATACACCTGCTCAAAAACAAGGAGTGGGATTTTTTTAAAATAAAAATACAACCCTTTAAATATAGTCCTTTAAAAAGGTGGTGATTAACTAGTCTGGGAGTTGTGGTCATTGGTGGTAGGGCATATCCATTGCCCTTTGATAAATGCAATTTTAGGGGTGTTTTTAAATTCTATTACAGTCATATCTCGGGCTGAAATAGCTTCGGGTTGAGCGTTTTCGGGTTGCGCTCTGTGGCGACCCAAAAGTAACGGAATGCGTTACTTCCGGGTTTCGCCGCATGCGCAGACGCTCAAAATGACGTCATGCGCAGAAGCAGCGAATCACGGCACACGCAGACGCGGGTTGTGTTCGCTTCAGTATGCGAACGGGCTCCAGAACGCATCCCATTCACATTCAGAGGTACCACTGTACTTTTGCTAGAATTTTATCCCACCTCAGAAAACTATTGCCTTCTATGGTGACTCACATCAATTAAGAGAGAGGCTGAGAAAGAGGCAGGCCATTCTTCCCATCAGACTTAAAACGAGAAAGACTGGCCGTGCAAGAGAAAGGGAGTAGAGGGAGGGGGATCGGTTCTTCAAGGCCAGTATATCAATGTGAACTACAGTCAGTAACTTTTTAGTCAACGGCAACCAGGAAAATAGTTTATAATTTTTAAAATATTTTATCAAGTACATATAGATAAAGAGGGAGAATTCATTTCCAAGTGCTAGAAATTGCAAGTATCTAATGAAGTTGATGGTAGAGTTTGGGGAAAGAATGGAAGTATTTCTGTGTGTGTGGATGTAGTGCTGCTGTTTTTTTCTTGTGAATCATTGCCACCAGCTCTGGTGACATTTAAAAGACAAGTTCATGGGAGAGAGGTTGACTGTTGCTTGTCCTGGCTAAAAATCGGCCTGTGTGTTTAGATGCAGCATACCTGATGACTAGATGCAGGAGACGAGCAGTGAATGGCCATCCTCATCCTCATGCCCTCCTGATGAACTTTTTGGGGGGCTGCTGCAGCTGATAGAATGTTGATATGTCAATCTTACCTGGCATGGCCGTTTTCCTTTAAAAGATAAAAAAGAGTTGGCTCACAGAGCTGTCTGTTATTGGGGCACTCCATCCACTGAGGTGTTCTGTGAAATTCAAGCACATGCGTACTTTGGTATGAAGGGATACATATACTTGGGTTTCACATAGCACTTCTGTAAATGGAATGGAAAATGATCACCTCTGAACTATGTAGAGAACAGTGTTATTGCCATTGCAAACTTTAGAAATGCATGCAGGAGATAAGTTTTAATTTGTGAATACCCCTCCCACCCCAAATGCTTCAATTTTGAACCCATCTCACCCAAATAAAAGTTTATTCCTGCACATGAAAACATGTGAAACAGGAATGGTTGAGGCTGCTAGTGAAGAAAGGAAAGGCTAGAAAGACACCAAGAAGAAGACCAGAATGGTTTTATTGTATATTTCAAGATAGAAGAATATTTATTCTACTTACACTCCTCCCTTCATACTAAACATGCCAACAGATAAGCACAATCAAACTTCAGAATGGGCAGGTACACAGGAAGGAACCCCACCTGCAAAAATGCTCCTTTTTGTCATAATTTCCAGTGTTCTCTCGCCATCCTCATGCTCAACCTGCATTCCTAGAGAAAAAAATAATGCAGCAGAATCCAAAAAAGGGGGCAAACCAGCAAAAATATTATTATGAGAAGAAATGAAAGCTAAAGCAAGAAAAGCATTGCTATACGGTACTGCTAGAGCCATTTCACTTTTGAGAAGCAAGATCACCAAGAAAGGGAAATAGGAAGGTGTTTTTTCCAGCCCTTATTTAATAAAAAGTTTAAATCATAGGTGATAGCAGTAAAAGTAAGAGATCACAAAGGAAATATTCTAGGTCGCCTAAAAGCGCAGCAAGCTTTCTTAAATAACCCTTGCATCCATTTTCTTAATTTTGAGCTAGATTCAGCAGAATGCTGTGGCCTGACTGCTGATGGAGAGCCTCTGGCCGAGAACATGAGACACAATTGTTTAAACAGCTGCACTAGCTGACAATTTACTACTGAGCCAGGTTCAAGGTTCTGGTATTCATTTACAAAGCCCTGAACAGCTTAGGTCCAGGGTACCTCAGGTCTGATTATAGCCCAGCTCAATTTGCAGGATCATCTTTCCTTGGTCTTTCCCCAAGTTGGCAAAGCTTGTTTGACAACAGTGAGAAACCAAGCTTTTAGTGTCACCTGCCCCATCCTGTGGAACACCCTACCAATACGAAATTTAGTGGGTGTCTTCTATGCCAACTTTTAAATGTCTGCTGAAAACTTTATTATTCCGTCAGGCCTATGCAGGCAATTAAGAGTACATCTCCCACAATGGTTTGTTGATACTTGCTTTTAACCTTTTTTTGCTTTTAACTTGTTTTTATTTTTTGTGCTTTTATTATATGGCTTTTATCGTTTAATGTTGTAAACTGTTTTGATATGTTTTGTAAATTAGCAGTATATAATTATTTTATTGGGGACGCGGGTGGCGCTGTGGGTAAAAGCCTCAGTGCCTAGGGCTTGCCGATCGAAAGGTCGGTGGTTCAAATCCCCGCGGCGGAGTGCGCTCCCGTTGTTCGGTCCCAGCGCCTGCCAACCTAGCAGTTCGAAAGCACCCCCGGGTGCAAGTAGATAAATAGGGACCGCTTACTAGCGGGAAGGTAAACGGCGTTTCCGTGTGCAGCTCTGGCTCGCCAGAGCAGCGATGTCACGCTGGCCACGTGACCCGGAAGTGTCTCTGGACAGCGCTGGCCCCCGGCCTCTTGAGTGAGATGGGCGCACAACCCTAGAGTCTGTCAAGACTGGCCCGTACGGGCAGGGGTACCTTTACCTTTACTTTAATTATTTTATTATTTTATTATTTTTTATATTTTTATTTATTTATTTTTAATAGGGACGCGGGTGGCGCTGTGGGTAAAACCTCAGCGCCTAGGACTTGCCGATCGCATGGTCGGCGGTTCGAATCCCCGCGGCCTGGTGAGCTCCTGTCTTTCGGTCCCAGCTCCTGCCCACCTAGCAGTTCGAAAGCACCCTTAAGTGCAAGTAGATAAATAGGTACCGCTTTATAGCGGGAGGGTAAATGGCGCTTCCATGTGCTGCACTGGTGCTGGCTCGCCAGAGCAGCTTCGTCATGCTGGCCACGTGACCCGGAAGTGTCTCCGGACAGCGCTGGCCATGAGCGCACAACCCTAGAGTCGGACACGACTGGCCCGTACGGGCAGGGGTACCTTTACCTTTTAATTTTTTTATAAATAATCTTACTGAGAAACATTTTATTTTTTGAATGTAGAAACATCTATAAAATAGCCATGGCAATCATTTAAATTAAAGCAGATTTATTTTCCACTCATTATTAAAGGTTCACCTTTATTAAACAAAAATAGCCAGTAGAGGGAAAGGACACAAGTTGATGGGAAGGCTCAAAGCATTAAGTGAAGTTGCCCAAGGAAACATTCAAAATTTTACTAAATTCTATAGCCAACATTCTGTTCTCTTGGGCTGCTAATGCACATACATAGGAACTCCAATTGTTATATTGATAACTAAAGAACCGCCCTTTGTCAGAGGCATGATAGAGCCTAAGTTAAATATGTAACCTATATATGTGTAATTTATGAATGTATGTATGTGTACTGAAAATCCATAAAAATTTAATTTGCAAAGAAAAAGAACCGCCCTTTGTTACCAGCATATCCTTGTTGAGTGGGAAATGAACTTTTTTTGCCATGTGTTCCAATTCAGGCATCTATTTAATATTTGCTCAAGCGTTTATTTTCTGGTAACTTCGTAGAGATGACATAATGCTAGATAGTGTGGAAAGTGAAACAAGTGCTGTGTTTAAAAGAAACAACTTATTTCACACCCTTTAATAAGTAGAATCTATCTAGAATTTAGGGACGCGGGTGGCGCTGTGGGTAAAAGCCTCACCGCCTAGGGCTTGCCGATCGAAAGGTCAGCGGTTCGAATCCCCGCAGCGGGGTGCGCTCCCGTTGCTCGGTCCCAGCGCCTGCCAACCTAGCAGTTCGAAAGCACCCCCGGGTGCAAGTAGATAAATAGGGACCGCTTTATAGCGGGAAGGTAAACGGCGTTTCCGTGTGCGGCTCTGGCTCGCCAGAGCAGCGATGTCACACTGGCCACGTGACCCGGAAGTGTCTCCGGACAGCGCTGGCCCCCGGCCTATAGAGTGAGATGGGCGCACAACCCCAGAGTCTGGCAAGACTGGCCCGTACGGGCAGGGGTACCTTTACCTTTATCTAGAATTTACACTTGCATTTCATCTTGTTTAGCAAAGCACAAAATTGCAGGTTAGGAAGAATTTGAAACTCAATAATTTACAGATGTCAAACATAGAGATGAGAAGGCCTAGAAAAAAAACAAAAAAATGGGGGGGGGGAGTGTGGAATATTCAAACTATATCAAACTTTTTTTTTTCAATTTTTCCGGAGGAAAACGGCTTTGGGGGGAAATGGAAAAAACACAGACCCCCCCCCCCAATTTTTCTGTTTCCCCCCCAGGCCTTCCCATCTCTAGCAGCGTATACTATTATGGTGTAACCTCCCATGTTGAGAAATGTGCATGGAATGCAGGGCTGTAAATGAACAATCATTTTGTACCTCTTGAACTGTTGGGAAAGGTGGGGTATACATTTGTTCAATCTGTCAACATGCTGTAAATAATACTGAGAAAATAGCTGGGATAAAAATACTTTAAATCCAGTTTATTTTATTTCATGAGGCTTGGCAGTATCAGTCTGCAATTGCAGGGTTCGTAAGAAATGCTCTCAGAAGCTGGTCGAGGCAGTAACGAAACTGATCTAACCTGCAGTCCTAAAAGCTCTTTGCATAAGCATAACTTCTAAAATAGGATTGCTGGTGAGAAACGAATTCCAAAGTGGCAGCCCCTTTGCACTGCTCATCTTACAACAATCGGATTGAAAGTATGCCTCTCTTACTGACCTTTCCCATGTATACTTTGTTTATGACTTTTCTAAATGGATTGGGGGTAAATAGGTAGTATTCCTTTAACTAGATAGCTCTTGGTGAAGCTGTTGATTATGTCACAAAGGCCCTTTTAGTGCCACTGAAATGACCATTCCTGTGTTTCATAGCACACCGGCCTGGTTCTCTTATAGGTATTTTTAAAACATGATGTTTAAGATACAGCAAGATTTGGGAGGCTTGTAATAGGTGGTGAAATGTTGTGGGCCAAGATTGCTGAAGATTGCCGGGATGAGCTTGTTTTGCTGGAGAGGTTGTTCTGGTGTTCATACAGGTGCCTTCCTTGTATGTCTAGATGCATCACTGTAAGCGCTACCGCTCCCCAGAGCAGGAGCCCTACATGAGCCACAGGTGGAAGAGGAGGCGGTCTTGCAGCAGGGAGCAACATGATGGAAGAACACGATACCCAGTTCGCCGGGATCTGTCAAGGAGGTCACGGTCTAGAAGGTGAGCAAGAGATTATCTTGGAACAAGCAGTCATACCCACATGGTGAATGCTTCCTTTGGTACTAAATGATCCTTCTAAATTGGAATTGTAGATGTCCAGATCCCTTCTAGTCCTGTGTAGACCTCTGTAGTCCCTGTAGACCTCTGCAGCTACCACAAGACTCTGTTTGTGCCCTGCAGTGAAATGACAGAAAGCAGTGTCTAGTGCAGGTTAATAATAATAATAAAATTTTATTTATACCCCGCCCTTCCTGGTTCAAGAAACCAGGCTCAGGGTGGCTAACAACAAATTTAAAACACTTAATTGATGCAACAAAAAACAGCACAAAACATGAATAACAATAAATTCAGTATTCAAAAATCAATTTAGGGGGAAACTCCATCCACACAGGTTACACACAGCACTGCACTGGGGTTGCTGCACAGATTTCTGCCCCCCCCCCCACTCCCATTTCCTAATCACAGGTTTTTATTTGTCACACAGCCATGACAGAATGCCCTACCAGAGAAGATACAGAGACAGAGATGACAGTGATGTCTACAGGTTTGAAGAGCGGAGCTCATCTTTTGGAGAAGACTATTACGCTGCACGCCGTTCACGGCACCACCGGAGATCTCGAGACAGAGAGCGCCACCGGACAAGGAAGCACCAGCATCACTGCCGAAAACGCAGGACCAGGTCTTGTAGCAGTACCTCCTCGGTGAGTATCATCCAAAATGAGATCAGGATTGGTCAGGGCCTAACTAACTTGTAGCTTTTTTCCAGCTTTGAATCATACTGGGTGAGTACTTCTAATCCCCTGTCTTTCTCCTCTATGCAGAGTTAAGTTTTTCTTCTGCTTGTGCGATTATTGGTTATATTAGCTGTTCTTAGTCTTGACTGTGAATAATTTTAGCGTCTGAGACTCGTGTGTGTTTCTCAGGATGCATTGGGAGGGGGAGAAGCCAAATACAGTGGTGCCTCGCAAGACGAAAAACTCGCTAGACGAAAGGGTTTTCCGTTTTTTGAGTCGTTCTGCAAGACGAATTTCCCTATGGGCTTGCTTCGCAAGACGAAACTTCTTGCGAGTTTGTTTCCTTTTTCTTAAAGCCGCTAAGCCGTTAATAGCCGCTAAGCTGCTAATAGCTGCTAAGCTGCTTAATAGCCGTGCATCGCAAGACGAAACAACCGCAAGACGAAGAGACTCACGGAACGGATTAATTTCGTCTTGCGAGGCACCACTGTATGGCATCAGTGACAATGTGGGGGTGAGGGGGGACGTTTGTGCACATGGCTCAGAATGGCCGTGCCACACCCTTCTTTTTGCACACATGACCCTCTGCTCTCGACTTTCCCATCCTGTGTTGCTCAGCGGTTGTGTTCAGGGGCACAGAGCAGTCTTGCCTTTGCAGCTGCAGCAGGGCATTTCTGCCGGCACCCTCTCCTTCCTAGGGCCAGGTCAAGCTGTCTCAGACTAATTTCTCAGGACTTTTAAGCTCACAGACCTTCCTCTCCTCTCTAAGACCCTTCATGGGTGAACAGTTCTGGTATAAGATGGTGCCTTCCTTACACAGTAGCGAGTCTGCACAACTTGTGTCGCTGCAGCCCACAAGTTGTATATGGCAGCCCGAGAGAGGCTGAATGCACTCCCAAGAGAGGGGACATGAAGAGTACCAGACAGGTCTCCATATATGGCTGGTGGACTGCATCTGACTTGTTGGATGGCAGATTGTACTGGCTTCAGGTGGGGGGAGGGGTGTTTTTTTTTATTGCTGCACATATGCATATCATCTTCCTTTGTTAATATAATTTTTTTGTTAGAATTTCCAAGCAGCTCACAGACCTTGCCCATTCACTCACCCCAACCACAAAGAAAAAAGTGGAAAGAAACCCAAGAGGAATGAGTCTTGAAGCACACACCCAGTTTTGCTTCATTGAGTCACAGACCTGTCAGTGCTCTAATCCAGTGTTTCCCAACCTTGGGCCTCCAGCTGTTTTTGAACTACAATTCCCATCATCCCTGACCACTGGTCTTGCTAGCTAGGGATGATGGGAGTTGTAGTCCAAAAACAGCTGGAGGCCACGAGTTCTGTTGTTGGTCTGGAACACACTACAATCTCTTCTATTCCTCTGTTTTTCAGTTAAGCTTGCTTATGTTGTAAAGCTGAGGTTAATCTCATTTAACCCCACTCTTTCCCCCTCATTCCTGTTCTTGGAATTTATCCCAAAGTTATGTTTGTACAGTGCTAAGGGTATGGATTTTGGTTGGCGTGGCTTAAACTGTTTCAATATCGTACACCTTCTTTTAGGGTCTTGTCTCAACTTCTCTCAATTTCAGACAGTCTCTTTTAGGATTTGTATGTGGTTTGTTCTACAGTGGAAGGGAATGGGAGATGAAAGGAAGTGCAGGCCTGGAGTTTGTAACCTATTTTTGCAACTCAGCCTTGGGAGACTGCAATTCATTGCATTTTGAAAGGTTAAAAGTGGAGGGGGGGGGAGGATCAAGGATTGGAATAATTCTTCACAGTAGTGGAACCCTTCAGGTTACTTGACTGTTCTCCCCACCTTCTCCACTTCAGTAGAAGTGAGTAGCAATGCCAGGTTGATTTTGCATCCCCTCCTTCTCTTTGAGAAAGCAAGATATTTTCCTGGGGCCGGGGGGGCGGGGGTCTAGTTGGATTTTGATGCTTCGCACAATGCTTGTCAGCAGCACAAGACATACTTGATTCTGAATCAGGACACAGCCGCTGCTTCTAGAGTTCTTCTAGGCTTGATTCCAGCTCAGAAGTGAAAGCAAACCAATCTGGCACAGGTCAGACTTGCAAGCACATAGAAGGTTCAGATCTGTAGTGGTTTCTTTCAGGCAGCGACATCCAAATCCGATCATGCTGGAAACAGAGGGGCTTTACAGAAAGTGGCAGGCAGGGAGAGAGGCTTCATGGGAGGAAGAGGAGGAGGTGGCCTGGGGTGGGGAAGGGAGCTGCTTAGACTTCTGCTGACCCAACTGCCTTTGGGCTGCCCGTCGTCCCAGATGCTGGTGGAGAAGCTACTGTCCTTGAGTCCTCCTCTCTGCGCTGCTTGCTGTGTCTTTCCCTGGTGGTTAAGAAGGGATGGTAATTCTCTGTGGGAGGAGGGTGCCCAGGGGCTGGAGCATCCCAGCCGCTGCTCCCCACACGAGGACCGCGTGGTTCTGCTGCTGCTGCGAGGCTCCTGCGCCTGCCTGCCTGCCTTCCATAGCTAATCAGAGTTTCTTTACATACCTGTAGCTGTTTTTTAAACTTTTGTTTTGAAGTCGGTTTGTGTCTTGACGTGTCCCTTGCAATATCCCTATCGTTATATATGCTGTGTGCCTTATGAAATGCTGGGATCTGGAAAATCCAACCACCGACGCATCGTCGTCTCTCCGCCTCTGAATGACAACTCAATCTGCCAATCGGAACTGCCCGCTGTGTGCGATTGGTCGGATGGCGTTTCGGGGGGCGGTGTGTGCAGAGAAGCCAACAGAGCAATAAGCGCAGCAGGAGCGTGGAAGATGACAAAGAAGGTCACCTGGTGTGCAGGATCGGCGATTGGCTCCATGAGCGATGTACAGCCACCTTTCGTAAAACTTTACCTCTCTACTTTCTATCCCCATGTTAGACGAGATCGCTCTCAGTGTACGGGAGGGGTCTCTAGTGTTTATTGCTTATAAATGGACTGAACAGTAAATACTTGAAACAGGAAGTAGACAATTGTGTGTTAAAGAGTGTAGCAGTGAGAGCCTTTCTTGAGACTTGAATGCTGTGAAATTGCAGGACCTCACACATTCATTAAATATCCAGGGCTCACATCTGCTTTTGTTTTCTCTCCTAGATGAAATTGTGGGGAGCCTGGGCGAAGGCACATTTGGCAAAGTTGTGGAGTGTGTGGACCATGCCAGGTAAGCTATCCAGTACCTGGTGCTCTTATGTCAAGGAATATTGGGATTTATTGGTTTTGTTTGAGGCTAAAAGAGGATTGTGGTCCCAAGCTCCAGAACCTGAGAGAAGTAGGTGTGGGGTAGATAGTAGTTAATGAGCCCTTTCCAGATAAGAATTGTGGATAGTGAACCTATTTTAATTAATGAACATGACAAAATTCAAAAACATGACATAAATTTCAGTGGCTCTACTGTGAATAAAACTTAGTTGAATTACCACCTGGTGGGGGTAGAGAATATCTGGGTTGGTGCCCACTCCCCTTGTGCATTGTTTCTGCACTGCTTTTAATTCCTGCCTAATGGTTATCCTAATTAAAACAACAAATAGAACCAAAGAGCAACATTAAAACAGCGGATCAGCAGAATATGTTATAACCAAGTTAAACCCTAGACAAGCAAGACAGTAACACAAACAGTATGTAAAAGTTCCGAGCAAAAAGGTTTTTTTCCTTGACCTGTCTTGTGACACGTCAGTGGCTGCAAGTGGCATGAGGACCTGGACAATAATCCATTCTCATTCCATGCTTCCCTGCCATGAAAAGAGTGTGCCTAGGTTGGTAGGAAGTATGTTCCCTGGCTCACTTAAGCTCTATAGGCTTGGCTGTACCAGATGTGACCCTATTGGATTGGATCCAGACTGAATTAATTGAACCTAAAGCCCAATGAAATCAGTAGAACTGATGGCTAACTTGTTTCATTGATTTTAGTGCGAACTGAGTTCAGCTCACTTAGTCTGGATCCAACCCATGAGTAATGAGCAGGAGAGAAAGTTAAAGCCTGGGTTCTTCTTTCAAATTGTAGTCACATCCAGGACTTTTACTAGAGAATACAATGATGAATGCTTTACTTCTTTTTTCTTTCTTTAATCTTTGGCTCCATGGGGAGCAATTGCAGAGAAGGGGCTGAAGTTGATTCCTCTCCCTTCAGGATTTTTGTGTGTGACCAAGAGTTAGGCTTGAATTCAGTTGCAGAGATCTCTGCTGTTGTTCCTTGTGTCTCATTACTCCATTCCCCCCCCCCCCGGCTTTCTCCCCTTCTGTAGAGGCAAGTCTCTGGTAGCTCTGAAAATTATTCGAAATGTTGGCAAATACCGTGAAGCGGCCAGACTAGAAATTAACGTCCTAAAGAAAATTAAAGAAAAAGACAAAGAAAATAAACAGTAAGTCTTGCCATTGGGATTGGGTTGAGGTTGGCTACTCCTTTCCTAAAGGAAGGGTCCAGGGGTGAACTCTGGTCAGTCTGCTCAATGTGGTAGAACATGAAAGCAACGAGCTCTGCCCACTGCAGGGGAAGCAGAGGATCACCACCTTTCCCTCAGGAATAGTTGGCAACTACAACTGGTTAGTGCAGTTCTGTTAATTGCTTTGAAACATAGATATTTAACTACCTGGGTTAGGGCTTGGTGCTTATACATCTGGGGGGGGGGCGGGAGCGGGAAGTCATAGGATGAAAATTCAGTTTTGGGGGAACGTACGTAGTCATTGTCTATTCCAACCCCTGCTCATTGCAAGATCTGTAGTACAGGATGCAACTGGCACATGCCCACCCAAGCGTCTGATTAGCATCTCCCACAAAGGAGAGCCCTCCACCTCTCAGGGCAGCCTGTTCCACTGTCTATGAGCTGTTGTTCTTAAGTGGTTTCTTCTCATGTTCAGCCAAACCTCCTTCCCTGCAGTTTCCACCCACTAGTTCTAGTTTCATCCCCTTGCTTGCTCTATCTTCTGCATGGCAGCCCTTTATATATTTGAAAATAGCTATCCTGTCTCCCCTTAAACATCCCCAGCTTCTTCCACCATTCTTCGTAGGACAGGGCTGGGGAAGCCTTCAGTCCTCCCCATGTTGTTCAGTCCCATCAGCGCCCCGCCCCCTACATGGCCAGTGGTCAGGGATGGTAAGGGTGGTACTTCAAAGTTAGCCAGGGGACCACAGCTTCCCCCCACACTCTCATAGGGCTTGGATTCAAGACCCCTTCAACATCCTGACTGCCGTCCTCTGGACAGGCTCTAATTTCTCATTAAAATATGCCTGGAACTGGAGACAGTATTCCAGGTGTGTAGCCTGACCAGTGCAGAATATATTGGAACTGTAGCCATGTGCAGGCATTCATCTGAACACGTGTTAAGTGAAACTTGAGGACTGACCTCAGATTTCATCTTACTGGTTTCAGCCCAGTGTTCCAGAGCCTGGCAAGATACTTTGGAATCTCCATTCTGTTTGCTGGTGATGATAGCTGACCCTCCCAGCTTCATGCCATTGCAAATTTAATCAGCATTCCCTCTACATCTTCAAGTCATATTTAAATTTTTTGAACAGGATGGATCCCATGCTGGCTTGTCGTAATCAGTGCATATTTTTTTAGACCCTCACAGACCAGCTTTTGGAATTTTGCCTAGTTTCAGCATTAGGCTGGCCACCTCTTTTGAAGATGGCAACAACATTTGCCCATTTCCAGTCTTCAGAAACTGGCCTGTTCTTTAAGAATTCTCAAAAGAATTATCGGCAAGCACCTTCAGGATGTGACCCTGGAGACTTGAATTCATTTGAAGTAGCTAAAAGTTATCTTATCTCCTTCCTTATCCTGAGCTGCTTGTGCCTCCTGGTATCATTTGTTCTAACATTCCCACTGCAGGAGAAGACTGAGGCGGAACAGATGTTGAGTAGTTCTACCTTAACTCTATTAACTCACCTATTAACACCTCACTGTCTGCTCTCAAGCAGCAAATTTCTTTTTCTTCTTGCTCTGAATGTAGCCAAAAAGCCCTTTTAAAAATGTTATTAGCATCCATCGTAGATCTCAGGCAATGCTGGGCTTTAGCCATGCTACTACATGCTACTGTATCACTTTCATCATTGCTTATATTTCCAGTTCTCAGGCGAAGCGTGTCCTTTTAAAATCTCAGATAATGAACAAGCTCCTTGTGCAGCCGCACTGGCTTCTTTAGATGTCTCCCATTTTTCTTTCTCATTGGAATCATTTGCTGTTGTACTTTCAGTATTTCAGTTTTTTAAATGCCCCATGCCTCTTGGAGCCCCTTCCTCCTTTAGAATTTCTAGCCATGGATTTTAGAATTCCCACCCAATTTCTTTCTTTGATATTTGAAATCTGCTACTCTCAATTTTTACATCCTTTGCCATCACAAATCCCAAGGTGCTTTGGTCATCTTCTCCTCGAGGTTCCTGCTGCTTTCACTCCATCAACCAGTTCTCCCTTGTGGGTTACGATAAAGTCCAGAATTATAATTATAATACCCTTGTTCCTTTCTTTGCCTTCTATTGTTGGCAGGGCATGGCAAGGATATATTGTACATTCCATTCTTAGCAGAGTTAGACTTCCAAGGGGTGCCAGAATAGTTGCAATCCCCCATTATTGCTATTGTTCACTTATGTGACCATTTTGTAATGTGTTTAAAGAAACCATCACCCATATCTTCTGCTCAGGTGAGAGGTCTGTAGTATACTGCCACAACAATGTCATTTTTGTTTCTCTCTCTATCCTTACCCAGATGCTTTCAACAGGGCTTCCACTCTCAGACTCATGGATTTTCAAGCAGGTGCAAACATTAACATTCTCTGTTATACATCTGTTATGTACATCTTTATCCTCCTTTAAGAGAAGGAAGAACCCCCCGATACCTGTGTTCCCTGCACCCCCATTTCCCCCAAGCCTGCCACTCACACTGATGGGGCCGCTGGCTGTGCTGTTGTGTGTTGGGCCCTGCTGGGTGAGGGGTGGCCTGAGGATGGAATTTTAAAGGCAACTCCAAATGATTCTAGAACAGGATGAGACAGGCAATCATCTATCTGGCCCCCAAGTCTAGCCTCAGCGAGGGAAGGGAACGGGCAGTGTGACCTCAAGAGCCACAATTACAGCTACAGTGTGTTTTTTCTCTCCACTGGCCCAGCCTGTGTGTCCTGATGTCGGATTGGTTCAACTTCCATGGTCACATGTGCATTGCTTTTGAACTCCTGGGCAAGAACACATTTGAATTCTTGAAGGAGAATAACTTCCAGCCATACCCTCTCTCCCATATCCGACACATGGCCTACCAGCTGTGCCATGCCTTGAAGTGTAAGTATGGCATGTGCTCTGCTTGCTTGGGAAAAGGGGGGGGGGAGAAGCCTGTTCGAAAGTTTCTTCGCTTCCACCTTAATGCTGTTTCGGTATCTTGAAGTTGGGAAGGCAATATAAACTTGAAGGCAAAGTTTATATTGCCTTCCCACAACCTTTTATGAGCATTTATTTAAATCATTTATATACCCATATAAATCACTGGAACATTCGGGTCTGCAGAATCTTGATTCTATACTTCTATTTAGTCCTATTTAACATCTGTTGAGATAGGCTTTGCTTGAGAGCCAAAGTGTATAGCAGGAATGTAAGGCCTCTTAAAACCTCTTTTTTTCTCTCCCATTTTTCTGTAGTTCTTCATGACAACCAGCTAACTCACACTGACCTCAAACCTGAAAACATACTGTTTGTAAACTCAGAATTTGATACCTTGTACAACGAGAAAAAGGTGGGTTACACCTAAGAGCATAGAAGTTGCAGAATAGCCTGCCCTTTTTGAATGAAAGATAGGGGAGGAGTATTGGGAAGTGGGTGCAGCTGAGGGACTGATGGCAAGGATCACATTCAGCATCTCAGATCACCCAGAAATTGGAGAATGGGACGGGGTACACCCTCCAACTTCTGAAATCTGGGCTCCTTGGCACGCGGTGCGTTGGCTTTTTTGAACGTACACCACCAAGTCTGTAGACTTACAGTTCCTTCGTTTTTGAAAGGAAAGGCCCACTGAAGGCTGTAGGGCCTTCTGTCTGGAACTCTCCACCTTTTCAAAAGCAGCTCAGTAACCATGGGTGTGTCTTCTGCATTACAGAGCTGCGAGGAAAAGTCTATCAGAAACACGTGCATCCGTGTAGCGGACTTTGGGAGTGCCACGTTTGATCATGAGCATCACACCACTATTGTGGCCACTCGGCATTATCGCCCACCAGAAGTGATCTTGGGTGAGTTGGCATTAACTACTATAGCACTTGGGAGTCGAGTGTAGCAGTTCAAAAAACGGTGGGTGAGTGCTCAGTTTGCAAAATGGGTTGCTTTGCATAAGCAAGAAGAGGAACCTACATGTCAGAGGGGCTTGTGGGGAGGAGTATGCCTGAAATGAAAAGGAGGGAAGCAATTGGGCATCAAGGTTCAAAAGGGGGCAACATATTTCAAAGCAAATAGTTTCGTTTTAGCTTGCTTGGGTGAACTAGCCCTGTAAGGGGGATATCTGTACCTTCACTACAGCAGTTTGCACACTCTTCGTGGCCTGCAGATGAACTGGAGACTCTAGTCTGCTGCCTCTGATTAAGGAACTCAGTCTCTACTTATTCCCCCAAATGAGGGTCTCTCCATGCGACCCATTCAAGAGGGCAAGTGATAACTTCATCACATTTAAATAATCTTGATGAGTGGGGAGTAAACTTGAATGGGTTAAGAGGCAAGTGCTAGTTTAGATGTTGCTAATCCCCACTTCAGTATCACTATAAATTAACCCATGGCCTCTTGGGTAAGAGCTTGCATCACTTTCACCCCTAAGTGATTTTGCACAAAAGCAGTCCCTTTTATCAACTACAGAAATAGGAGGGCACGTAACAACAAAAATGGTAACCTAAAGATCATTTTGATTTAACCATGATGACATTTGATGGGTGGAGGGAATGTAGTCCTCCTCAGTCCTTTTTTAAACCCACTGACATTCTCACAAAGTGGCCAAAGAAAATATTTTTGGGGGTGTATTTTATTTATTTGTTTGTTTGTTTGTTTGTTTATTTATTACAACAATTGCATTCACCCTTTAGTCACACTTGCTGTTACTGAACAGTAGGGGGCACAGTCCCCAAGATGTGCAAAGGGCATAGTAGCCAGAGCATATCTACACAGTCTGCATACAATGCAGGAGTATGGCTGTGCCCTGCAGCCTTGCGCAGAGACCGCCTGCCACCTCCTGAACATGCAGGCTGACCCGCATTGCCCTCTTCCGCTGCACATGCACATCAGCATGTGAATTCCAACCCACTGTCAGTTTGCAGTTCTTTCCGAACTCTGTTGTGGCTCACCTTGTGTAAGACAGAGCAGCAGCTCCTTTCTTTTATGGAGCTGAAGGATGGCATCATTGCTCATCCAACCTTTTTCCACTAATGGGCAGGAAGGGGGAGATTGCATAAGGAGGAATGTGCTACCATCTACTTTCACTGAGCTCAGCAGATATCCCAATTGCAGTGAGTTTTTTCCTGGTGGTTTTTCCCCTTTGGTAGATTCCCTCAGCCCCTTTTAAAGGGCAAACCACTGAAAGGTTTTCCTTGGCTGCTGAGCAGAAAAGCCCTACTTAGCAACTGAAGAACAAAATGGCAGCATTTGGGTACAGAGTAGAACGGCAGTCTTCATTCTGTATTCTCCTTTGCAGAGCTGGGTTGGTCACAGCCGTGTGACGTCTGGAGCATCGGCTGCATCCTCTTCGAGTACTACCGTGGATTCACACTCTTTCAGGTAAAGGAATTGCTGTACTCCTTTTTGGACCAATTCAGCATAGTGGTTTGCTTTCTTCTGAATAACCTACTGCGTACTTCTTGGTACAATATAGTTTATTGGTTTTTGCTCGGTGGAAAGAGCTTTGCGGAGAGCAGAATAAAATTATTGAATCTTCCCCAAAAGCTGGCCTGGCTACACCAAGGGATAGAGATGGCCCCACATAGTCCAGTATTTGCTGAAAGGGAGGACGCCGCCAGGATGCAGGCCCTATGGTGTTTTTTATAACAGCCAAGAGGTTTTACTTGAATGGCTACAGTTCCTTGCTCTGCCTGCCAGGTTTTTCTGCAGTTCGGCTCCTGCTCTGCAACCTAGAGATCTAGTTGTGCTCTTGAAGACATTAACCGGAATGTTTTCCCCTTCTGTTTAAGGGGTCTTTGCTTGTTCTTTTCCTTGTAAAGTGCTGGAGAAATCACTATCACAAATAGGCATTTTAGGCATGAGCATGCTACTTACTTCAAAACCCCAAGGGTGGGGTTGTTGGAGAGACTAGTGGGCCTGGTCACCTCTCCCAGTTTCCTGGAAATGCTGTCATACATTTCACTCCTTATGGAGTGACCATTTCCCAAGAGGTATATAAGATGAGCCCAGCTGAACCAGACCAAAGGCATGCCTAGTCCAGTATCCTGTCTCCCACACCAGCCAGCCAGATGCCTACGGAAGGGCTGTAGCTCATGATTTGCATGTGAAAAGTCCAGGTTCCTTCCCCAGCACCTCCAGGTAGGGATTAAAGATTCCTGCTTGAAGCCCCATACCTGCCCTGCTAAGTTCAGCATATATTTTTCTCTCTACAGACTCATGAGAATAGAGAGCATCTTGTGATGATGGAGAAGATCCTTGGCCCAATCCCACAGCATATGATCCGCAAAACACGGTAGGAATGCTTGGTTTTGACTGGTAAATAGGTGGCCCCCAAATTAGAGAGAGGCACTTTGGGCAAATAAACCAGGTCAGTGAGATTTGTTGACGATTTAATATGGACTCTCCTATGTTTTATGCTCTCAAAAAAATTACACGAGGCAGCAAGGCCTGTAGATTACATGTTTAGATGTGCAACTCAAGTGCTCTGTACATTTTTAGAGGCAGTCTATGGATTTATTCAACTGCTTGGGGGGAAGATGCCATTTCTTTTGCCTATCTCAGCCCAGTACATGTGTTCAATTTGAGCTCTCTCTCCTCACCCAGGAAACAAAAGTATTTTCACAAGGGAAGTCTGGTATGGGATGAGAACACCTCTGATGGGAGGTATGTCCAGGAAAACTGCAAACCATTGCAGGTAAGAACCACTTGATCTGCTCTGGTCAGAATGCATTAAGCAGTTCTTTATGCAAATACTTGTTTGTAACCGAGCACCTGAAAGCTAAATTACTCTCATCTGTGTTCATCCGCATTGCTTGCTTCTCAGCAAGGCCTTTGAAACAGGAAGCCAAGCCCATTAGAAACACCATCTTCTGAATATACTGGACCTTTCTTTTATCTGCTTCCATCTTTTCTGCATGTGGGGATGCAGAGTGGAATAATTATGTTCCACTCTCCCCATCCCATTTTTTCTGCACCACACCTTTCCACATACCAGGTAGGAGCTTTTCATGAGGACGACACTTCACTTTTGTGGCTGCAAGGGGACTCTTGTCAACTGAGCTCCTGGTCTCATATTTTGTGGAAAGAGCTTTGTTTACTTTTCCCCAAAACTCTTAAGCCTTGCCACTTTTTGATGCAGTTATAACCTGTGTAATTCTGCTTGTATTGATAAGTGAAGCAAAAAACATGCAAGCCAGCCCGTACTGTCTGTAAGCAGTTGTCCCACCCTAAAGAAGAGTTTTGCCTTCTGCGGGGTTGCAGGATAGCTCTTCACAAGTCTACCACAGCACCCTGTTGGCTTGATAATGCTGGGCAGATTTTGTGAATGTGTGCTTGCATGGAGAAATTAGTCAACCCATCCCTAAAAGGAGCTACTAGTGGTGACTGATGATATACTGTTTGTCCCTTTTTTGAGAAACCCCAAATGCTTTGACTTTCCTAAATTGTGTGTATTGATCAATTGGCAGGTGCTTCTTTGCACACCTGTTTCTCTTAGCCAAGATGGAGAGCCAAGGTATGTCTCCATAGCCAGAAGCCCTTGGAACTGCATTAACAATGAAAGTTGAGCTTCTCTGGCATTGTGTGCTTCAGACAGCCATGATGCAGGTGCAGCCCTGCTGGTACAGGACTACACTGGCTAGTCTTAGGACTACTTGGGACACTTCTGTGTTGCCTGCTACTCTGCCACTACTAGTTTTACAGTAAAAGTCCTGGGAGAGCGACTTATTAAACTCCCTATTATTTAGACCTTACACCAAAATAATAGAGCTTGGCACTATTGTAATCACATAACTTGATTTCCTTTAATACTCCAGGGCAATACTAAACCAGTTGTCTCCATTTGTTGTTGTTTAGTTGTGTCCGACTCTTCATGACCCTATGCTCCGGTTCTCTCCATATCAGGTCTAATTCCTCCCCTGCTTATTCCTTTTTCTAGACATACATGCTGCACGATTCTGCTGAGCACATGCAGCTGTTCAGTCTGATGAGGCAAATGTTAGCGTTTGATCCTGCCCAGCGGATCACGTTTGGCGAAGCCCTGCTCCACCCGTTCTTCGCTGGCTTATCTGCAGAGGAAAGGCGGCTTAGTTGCCGAGATTCAAACCGGGACCTGAGCAGATGACAGATGGGGATCATGGAGATTCCTGCAGGATGTGTACATACTCCAAGACTGGCCTGACATTTATTGTGGAGACTCCAGAGACCCTTCTGTAGCAGTGTTCCAAGGGGTTGGTGCAATGTCAGGTGGACCCTGGGCCTGGGTGGGGGGGAGACAGCAACCCAAAAGCACAGATTTGTCTCATATATTTATATGTTGTAAAGTTCAAATAAAGTGTTTCATATTGTTTGATAATTTACTTGTATGACTGTGTCCAGCTATTTTTGCTCCCTGCCCTACTGAATTTTTCTGTTAACAATAAAATAGTGGTTTTATAGCTTGCCACCAATCTCTGCTGGGCGTTTACAAAGTAGTTTCTTCCTTGCTGTGCTATCAGCCATCTTTCCTTTGCAAGAAACCTGCATGAAGGAGGGAAAGAGGATGGAGGTTTGTTCCCCCCGCTCCCAATTGCCTCCTTCATATTGTGTGGGTAATGCAATCTTAGCTATTGCCTGCATTTTGTCACAGGTATGTGCTTGTTCAGTTCACTGCAAAGTTTTGGAGGAGCTTAAATTGGGCAGTTGTTTGGAAGGCTTTATGGCCTGAATTATGCCTGCAAAAAGGCATCTCAGGCCATCTAGCAGGCTGTCCTGCCATTTTGGTAAATCAGAGATGGATATAGGGCAGATAAGTGGCTTGATCAATTCTAATAGTAAAGCTTTGGTCAGTGTAGGTTCTCAGTGGTTGTAATAAACATCTGTTTTTCTCCTAGAGGTACAGGGTTCTCTTTTAAAATGTTTTGGCATGAATGGAAGGTTCTTGGAAGAGTGAATCTGCATTTTCCAGTATAACTGTAGTTGGGAGTTTTTAGGAAATAAAATTAGCGAAATCATTTAAATATTGAAGTGAATTCTATTTTTTCTCAAATACATTGAGATAATAATTATGCCTTTAAGTCAAAGTGATTAAGTCTTCTTGTGATTGTCTCTTGGACCCAAGATGGCTGCAGGAAAGTGTGAATGAACTATGGTCACTTGCAAACCAAGAAAACCAGTTTCTGCACTCTAGAAATGAAAACACAGAAGAACAACTGCTTTACTGCACATTTTAATCATTGTGATCTGTGAGAGAGTTCTGTATGGCACCTTTAGAGACAAGAAGGTCAAGCATGGCTGATTTCTCAGAGCTAACAGGTATTCAGCTACTTAACAGTGTATTGCACCCCTGAACTCCAGAAAAAGCCTGGCTACAAACCAAAATGTTCTGCTGGCAGCATTCAGAATAAGAACAAGCCAGTGACAGCAATGAGTTGGTCCCCAGAGAGCAACACAACGTTGTGCCCTTCCCACTGAAGAATGGCACATTGGGAGAGGGAGGGAGTAGCTGAGATGCACAATTCACCAGTGGGTCATTATACAAGCTCATGCCTGAAGCACAAGAGGACCGGACATCGGTGCAAAAGCAACATGCAGGAAGAGGCGGCTTTGCTTGGCCATTTGTCTCACTCCACAGGCCTTTGAATCTTAAGCCGCTTCTGTTCCAATGCCACTTTGCAACTGTTCTGCACCACTAGACAAAGCCCCATCACATTTCATTGCTTCACTTAAAAGTGTAGCCATGTGCTTGTTCTGGACATATTGAGAGGGAACAGGACAGTGCCACCATCAAGAACATGAATTTTTCTATGGGTTTCAAATCCAGTGGCAGCTAGACAGTCTCAATATTCTCATACACTCTCTCATACACACACACACAAATGGGCCCTGGGAAGTAGGTATTTTTTTTAAAAAAAGGAGCAGACGCCAGCAACGTGAATTCTACAGTAAGATGGCAGGACACGACTTGTGGAGAAGCACAAGTAACAGCACCAATGAGTCTGCTTCCTCAGACTTCTTTTAAGCCACAAGTATTGCAACCACATTATCATTCACTCAAATAAGCAAAAAGGAAACAAGTGTGTGCTGGCAATGGCTCAGAGACACAATTGCTGTTCTACAAACTCTCAAGCTGCCAGCAGGAGAAGCAGGTGTCTCCCACCACCTGCCTAGGCTGAGCAAGCCAAGGTACCATACAGCTTGAGAGACGGGGCCGTAGCTGCACAAGAGAGGGGTGCCCTGGCAGGACAGCCCTCATTCCCACATGATCAGCAAGGGGGACACATGTCCCCTGCGTCCTGTGGGAGGGGAAGGAAAAATGAAACCATACTGTCAGCTGCATATCTGAACGGGCAGGGGCACCTGCATGTGTAAGCAAGCACGCACCCTGCCCTCCCACCACCAACTTGCCGAGCTGGTTGAAGACACCAGCTGCCTCTGCGTTCCTTCATGGCATCAGGAGAGCATCAAAGGCTCAGAGGAGCACGAGCCCTCTTGGTTCTCCTCAATACTGATATTTCTCTTGAAAGAAACACAGCTGAGAACTGCCAAAATCCTTAAGGCTTCAAATAGTTTTAATACGGTCAGGATCAGTCGTGTGGTTCGAGGCAGTTCTGCCCCACTTTCCTCTTCGGGGCCAAAGCCCACCCCCCCACCCCCCACTTTAGGTAGAGTGCAAAGGGATGACGAACTTGCAGCCGAAAGGCGAGTGGTAGTTTATCCCCACCTCCTGGAAGACTTTCTGTGGAATGCCGATGTCACACAGGTACACGCGCCCAGCCCTCTCACCTAGGGGCAGTGGCAGCCCCAGGGACAGAGACCATTTGGCGTCGATCCCTTGCTCCATGTCATTCACCGGGGGGTCCAGGCTGAGGACGGGGGCTCTATTTTGGTTGGCCCAGTCCACAGCAGCCTTGTACCAAGGCTGGTCCCTCAGGAAGGCATTTTCATGGCAATCCAAGCAGTTTATCACCAAGTCAACTGGTGAGTCTGGAAGATCTGGGGAGCGGGAGGAACAAGAGAGCACTTTGTCAAGTAGAAACCTTATAAGGGACTTTAGGAAAGCCTCCCCAAGACTCTTCTAGCAGGCTGACCAGCCGTCAGCAGAGCCCTGCAGGATGCTTCTAGGAGGCTCACAGAAGACGACATGCAGGCAATGCTCCTCTCCTGCTTATAGCAACTGGGCCCCAAAGGCAGGCTGCCTATGAACAGGAATGTCCTTTACAGACAGCAGGACTAACACCCACCCATAGATCTGTCCTCTACAACTTTTTCAAAGCTCCTTTTGAATAAAGTCTAAAATAGGCATGTATTTCAAAGCCCCAGGATTTGGTTAGCAGCTCGTGCAACTGACCCAACTCGTCTCTTTCCAACTAAAGTGTTCCCTACAAGTCCAGTGGGTATAAAAATAGCTTAGCTCCTTGCCAGTAGATGGCGCTGCTGCATTAGAGGTTGCCTCCACAGCCCCACAAAGATCACATTAGCATCTACTCCCTGTCCCACTTCATCACTTGACCCCCCAGAACCTATACAAAGCCAGGATGCAGTGGCAATGCACCACTTCAGTCCCCCGGGGAGGGGAGATGGCAGTACTAGATTCTTCTGCTAACAGAAAAGCAACTGCTGTTTCCTTTCTGGGAAGCTGTGTGCTTGTGCTAAGCAGCCATGATTTAGCTTGGGCAGGACACATGGAGTGGGCCAGTGCACACTTTTATCTTTCTTTATTCAGCTAACTTGAGGCTTTGGCAATATAGCAAATACTTGTTATTTCTATATATGTAGAAAAACTATCCATGGCTGTACCCGGCTCACCTTTGACACTGGACACCTGTTGGCCTTGGGTCTTGCTAAAAAGTGTCAGCTCGTTGGTGATTGATTCCAGCATCTTGACAAAGTTGGGAAGGAAGAGAATGACATGCACATCATGATTGGAAAGATGCCGGCCACAACTGATTCCCTGGGCCCCCTTCACGTGAGGGCCACACAGCAAGGCAACCGTGGGTCGCTGGTGAATGTTTTTTGGGTTCAACCTGAAAGTTAGATGTACAAAGGGTCTTAAACATCAAAAGCAGTTTCCTCAAACAAAAACTTGCCTTCTTAATGGGAGAGGAGATACTTTCAAAATATTTAAGATGCATGCAACCAAGGCTCAGAAGTTAAGACATACAAGAGTCACAATAACTTTTCAATCACTCCATAATTTCCCAAACAATTCTCTCTTTATTCAGAAAGAAACACCACTGAATTCAAATGCAGTTTTCTTCCAACTAAGCATGCAAAGGTTTGCAGTGTCACAAGGGCACGTGTTAGCAAAACGCAGCATTGCTGATTAGGAAGCTAGGTTTTAAAATAATGAAACTGCTTAGTGGTTTTTAAAATACTGGAATAACAATGTTTTCTTGATGATCAAGGGAGATATAAATCTAATGTTTAAATCTCACAATCCCTGTGTAACTTCCAGTTTTCTCTTCTGCTTTGCAATCAGCCAGGCTGCATCACTGCCAAACAAGTTTCTGGGTCAGGTCGCTTTGAGGTAATCTCACATGGAGGGACTGGAACAACTGCTCTCCAGAGGAAGTAGACCAAGAGTCAGTTCTTAGGGACAAAGCCCTAACTTGGCTAGTTTCTTTCAGAGCCAAACGCCCAGCACAGAATGACAGAGGTGTAAGGACCCCAAGGACACACTCTGTAAGTTCAAGCCCTTGTAGAAATTCATCCACAAAGCCAAGGCCTGCCATGAGCAGGAGCTAACAAGGCAGATGACACCGGATGAGTTAACACATCAGCTCCAGGTGCCTCACAAAGAAAGCCATCCCAGGCACTACAAAGAATTACACTCTGAACACAGTTCCTGTGTCTGATTGGCAGGGAACCAAGAACAGCTCAAAGCCAAGACCCAGGCTTCCAATCCACAATAATAGCCATATGGCTAGACTGGCTTGCAGCACGACAGGTCATGTCATTTAGCATTCTGTGAAGCATGTAAAATCCAGTGGGGCTTGCTACTTTCTAGGAAAGGTGTTTTACCTGTTGGGCCCTCCGAGCAGACTCAGGGCCATCTGGCTGGCACATACCCCCGTCATTTCCAGTCTCCGTTCAAGGGTGAGCCCGTATTTCTCTGCCACCGAAAGAAGTTTTTTGTGAAGCTCATAGGAGATACTTGGAACGACCAGCCCAGAGTCTGAAATGAAGAAGGGAGGGAGCCATTTGTTAGGAGATGCTTGGCAAAAACAGCATTGCTCTTCAGGTCCAGAGCCTGAGCCTGAGACAGCACTCACATGCTCAGTTTTTGCATTAAGAACTGGACCATTCTAAACATGGTCACCCAACTGCCCAGAGGCTTTGGGACAAACAGACACAACCAACAGCTGTATAACTCACATAAATTTCAGTTAACCTGTCAGCGATCCCATTTCTATACACCAGCATGGAAACAAGTCTACAGGAGAGAGGTTTGCATCATAAGTGTGCATGTCACGT